CTATCCAACTTAGTGTAGCTTCGTAAGTCCTCTTCGTACTTAGCCATAGCTGCTGAATCCCCAGCACTACTATCTGGCACTTCCGGTTTTTTAATTGATCCATTTATTACATCCGTTATACCGTCTATTCCCCTTAATAGTGCTGACATGCGATACTTCCAATGTATCCAATTTTCACCTTCTAATTTATTAATTTGAAATTTCGACAAATCCATTTTGAAGTTTGGTATTAGCCCATAACCTAATATAGGAAATTGGTAGTAGCACTCACCAGTATTAAGCAACGCCGGGATCAGGATCAGTGTTAAGGAAAACCAGGACTAGGATTTTGGATACCTACACTAGTTAATATTAGTCAGTTAGCAAGTTCAGTCAATGTTCATAGTATATAAGACAAAAGGGTAATCTGTCATAAAAAAATATTATTTTCTTTTATTATTTTTACATTGACAAGCGCTGCTAGAATGCATATCGCCTGCCATTGAACCAAGGAGGTTCTTAACAAAAATGGCGAGATCGGGTGATAGTAATGAAGACCACATAACAAGACTAGTAGATAATGAATCGTATAATATCTGGAAGTTCGAGATAAAAATAATACTAAAAGCCAAAGGATTATTTGAAATAATAGCAAGCAATAATGAATTGAAAAAAGATGGCGACTGGGAAAGAAAAGATGCTCAAGCTCAGGCTATTATAATTACATCTATTGATAAAAAACATGTACAACACTTATTAAATTGTGAAAATGCAAAAGATATGTTCGACAATCTCTGTAATTTATATGATGGTTCAGAAGAACGTAATAAATGTCAAATCTTACAAGAATTCTTCAACTATAAATATCGACCTAGTCATAACATTAATGAATATCTGTCAGAAATAGAAAATCTCACTTTTAGACTAAAAAAACTTGGACAAAAATTGGATGACGAAGTTATAACATCAAAAATATTAAGTTCATTACCAGACAACTATTCATATTTTATTACTGCATGGGAATCAACACAAACAGATGAAAAGACCCTTAAAAACCTAAAAAGTCGACTTTTAACGGAAGAAAATAGGCTGAATAAAACTGAATATATGAATACAACTGCTACTGCTTTTAAGACGCAGAAAGTTGTAAAATGTCTAAATTGTAATCGCATGGGTCATAATGCGAAGCAATGTAGAACAAAACCATGTTCTATTTGTAAAAAGACAAATCACATAGAAGCTAATTGCTATTTCGGAAATACCACATTCAAAAGAAGAACAACTATAGTACAGATAAAAAACAATTTGTAAATAAATATCAAAAGGATAACAAACACGTTACCTTTCTATCTAAAGAAATGTCAAATGACCAGAAAAGCATACAATTTATAGTGGATTCGGGTTGTTCAATTCACATGATAAACAACCGAGATACACTACATGATTTTCAAGAAATTCAATCTGAGATCAGTGTTGCTAAACATGATGAAACTATGATGGCACAGGGTCAAGGTATAATAATTGGTCGAGATATAATACTGCAAAAAGTTTTGTTCGTACCCAGTTTAACTCAAAATCTTCTATCTGTAAACAATATAACAAATAATGGCGGTGAAGTGAATTTCTCAGATCAGTCTGTAATTATTACTAAAGATTCTGAAACAATCCTACACGGTAAAAGAACAGCAGAAGGATTATATGTCATAAATTTAGAAACATTTATTGACAGAAAAGATATGTCACTATATACAACAAAGAAAGACAACACAAGTATGTGGCATTTTAAAATGGGACATCCGTCAAATGAATCTTTGTTAAAATTATCTAAATTGGCAACTGGTATAAACATAGATGAAAAATTATTAACCAACTTTAAATGTGAAATTTGTATTATGGCGAAACAACTCGAAAACCATTTTATTCTAGAAATAAAGCTACTAGAAAGTTAGAAATTATTCATACTGATGTGTGTAGTATCGAAGATGAAACTTGGGATGGTAAGAAATATTTTATGACTATACTTGATGATTTTACACATTTCGTAAAAACCTATTTAATGAGAAATAAGTATGAAGTGTCACAACTCCTGAAAGATTATATTAACGAAGTTGAACGTGAAACAGAGAATAAAGTCAGTACTATAAGATGTGATAATGGTGGTGATACACCAATAATGATCTTAAAATCTGGTGTCAGAGAAGAGGGATAAAACTAGATTACACTATTCACCATACACCTCAGTTAAATGGAAAAGCTGAAAGGTTAAATCGAAGCATTATGGAAAAGGCTCGTACTTTATTATTCCAATCTGGACTTAAAAATGAAATGTGGGGTGAGGCCGTTTTAGTGGCTACATACCTACTTAATAGATTACCTACAGTTGGAATGGATATTACACCATATGAAGAATGGACAAATAAAAAACCAAATCTTAAATATGTCGAATGTTTTGGCAGTACAGCATATGTAAAAAAACTTGGTTATTTAAAAAAACTTGAACCTAGAAGCAAAAAATTAATAATGGTTGGATATGCTCCTACTGGATATAGATTGTGGTCGGAAGATAAAAGAAAAATTTATGTAGAGAGAGATGTAATTTTTTCATAATGATGTTAATGAAATAGCCAATGATTTTGATATGAATATAAATAAGGAAAAACATAATAATACACCTTTGTTAACGGATTGCCAAAATGACAATGTAGAAATTAAAAACTTTAATGATACGGTAGAGATGGTACGTATGAATGATAAGTATGAACAAGATAAAGAACAGTCACAAGACATACAAACAAATTTTTTACAGAATACTCCATGTTGTTCAAACAATAATAATATTATAGAAGAAGATGATACTTTACTAGGTAGAGGAAAAAGAGAAAAGAAACGAAATATACATCCAGATTTCGTATATTTAACATACAAAGAAGCAATATCTGGAGATGATAAATTAAAATGGAAAAAAGCTATAGCAGATGAAATGCAATCATTAGAGCAAAATAATACGTGGAATATAATAGATGTGGAAGAAGTAAAAAATAAAAATATACTAACGGCAAAATGGGTATTTACAATTAAGGAAAGTGGTCGCTATAAGGCTAGATTAGTAGTAAAAGGTTGTCAACAAAATAAAGGAATCGACTATACGGAAACGTACAGTCCAGTAATAAATACAAGTACATTAAGAGCAATGTTTGCTATTGCTGCATATAAAAATTACAATATTATGCAATTTGACATTAAAACAGCTTTTTTATATGGAGAGTTATTGGAAGATATATACATGAAGTTACCAGAGGGTTATGAAGAAAAATATGTAAAATTAAAAAAATCACTCTATGGCTTAAAACAAGCACCATTAAAATGGAACGAAAGATTTACATCATATTTAAAAAATAAAGGATTGTTACCTATAAAAGCTGATCAATGTTTGTTTAAAAATGAATCACTTATATTGGGTATTTATGTAGACAATGGAATACTCATGGGAAAATATAAAAAAGAAATGGGGAAGTTAATAAAAGAGCTGGAAAATGAATTTGAAATGACGTTGAATACAGAACCTAGTTTATTTCTAGGAATAGAAATTAATAAAAATGAAAATAATCATATTACATTAACACAAGAAAATTACATTAACAAAATAATAAATAAATTTGAAATGAAAGATGCTAAAAGTACTCCAATACCAATGTGCATCGGAGCAAACAAAATAGAGACAGAAGATGAAGAAATTGATTTTAATAATTCGTATTTTCCTTACAGAGAACTTATAGGGTCGCTATTATATGTTGCTAATAAAACTCGTCCTGATATAGCATTTGCGGTCAATTTTTGTAGTAGACGAGTGGAAAAACCAACAAAGCAAGATGTCATTAATGGAAAACGAATATTAAGGTACCTGCTGGGGACATCGAATTCAGGTATTAAATTTTATAACAGTAATCTACATTTAGAAGCTTATTGTGATGCTGATTATGCTAATGATCCACATACAAGAAAGAGCACAACAGGCTATATAATCTTTCTATGTGGAGGTCCTATTACATGGTCATCAAGACAACAGCCCATAGTTGCCATGTCATCATCGGAATCCGAATATATAGCTGCTGCAGATTGTTGCCGGGAGTTAATGTACCTAAAAAACTTAATTAGTGAGGTAGTAAAAGAAGAAGTTAATGCAACGCTTTATGTAGATAATCAAAGTACAATTCATTTAATTAACAACGGTATTATGAACAGAAGATCAAAGCACATCGATGTCAGATATCATTATATACACGAAAAAGTCAGTGAAGGACTTTTAAAAATAAAATATTGCCCCTCTGAGCATCAAATTGCTGATATTCTGACGAAGCCTCTTGGAAATGTAAAATTTTCTTATTTGAAGTCCTATATTATTTCTTAGTTTATAAAACAAAATTAAGGGGGCAACTATACAAGTAATTTTATTTTATTTTAAGACAGAAGTTTTTTTTTTATTTGTTTATTGTAGTAGTTATAGTTCAGTGAGTAAGTAATATTAATATATTTTTTTTAAAGTAGTTTTCTTAAAATGTTTAGTGGTGTTCTTAATTACTTAGTTCTTAAATACATGTTAAATTAAAATACAATTAAGGGGGCATGTTGAATGAACATAGAGGTTAATATACATAATTGTATTTGAGTAATAAATTCTGTCATTGTTAAAAAGAATATATTGATAGATTAAAAAAGTTACGTTTAACATCATGTTCGTATTTTATTAAAAATATCCATTATCTAGGTCATTTCACTCGGAATATCTCCCATTTCAACAATGGATCCCTACTGATTCTAAATATCACCGACGAATGCTTTTAAAATCTTGTATTCGATCCGCACTGGTATGTAATACAACATTAGAAGGTGACCATTCTTTAAATTAACCCACGTTTTGCGATTTCACGAAAACTAACATTCTATATTTCAAAATTTATTATTTTAATAAACAATTGAATCTGGCTATTTCAACTCCCGTGCTTCTGGCAACCCCGGTAAGAAGAACCAACGCCAAGAAATTTCGTTTCGTTGTTTGCCGCCTTTATGGCCCGGCTCTTTTTATTGAAATTACATACTTTAAAGCGTTTGTTCAAAGTAATTTACGTATAAAATATATTATAATGGGTGATAAAGGGGATGGAGGTAATTATATTCAGTCGAATTTACTATTTTCTATTCTCTCCTTGTGCTATCAAAATTACAGACATTTTCTGTTTTTTGGTTATCGTACTTCATTCCTTTGTTTTTGGTTACAGAAACATTTGACGATGCCGTAGAGGAAAGGGTTATAAACGAAGAATATAAAATATGGAAGAAAAATACACCTTTTCTTTATGACTTGGTGATGACACACGCTCTTGAGTGGCCTTCCTTGACCGCTCAGTGGCTTCCTGACGTGACCAGGCCTGAGGGTAAAGATTATTCTGTACACAGGTAAGAACATTATTAATATATTAATATGTCGGTCTCGGTGGTCTAGCAATTTCGTGCACAATTTTCCTTCAGATGATCGCCGGTTCGATTCCGCGCACGATGCCAACATTGGTATTCATGAGTATGATGTTTGTATTGGTCTGAGTATATTTTAAGTATATTCTGTATGATTCACAAAATGCTGCTAAAATTGGGATTGATTGGTCCAGAATTTTAATGCCGCCACTATTATATTTACAGACTGCATAAACATTGTCAGTAGTGATAAGATTCAAAACTTTAATAGTTTCGAATCTTTTATTGAATATTAAATAATTATATAGAACCAAATATGTATTATAGAGTTATAGTCAACAAAATAAAAAAAAACATAATTAAATCATCTGATTAAATAACTATATATTAATTGAAAGGTGTGAACTATTAATGCACACATATTATAATGTCAAAGAAAAAAATGTAAATATTTTTTTGTTCTTTACACTTAAAATTATAATCAAGTAGTCTTTGCATAAATAAATTACAGATCTTTTAAATTTCTCAGCTTATTCTATGTTATAATATTCATGTAATGTACATATAAACCTTTAGTGATTTAAGTCACTGTTTAATGCTTACTTTTTATTTTTGATTTTAATGCAGTTTTATTAATATCTGTAATGTAATTTAAAATATATAATCTAACAACACTTTATTTTATAGTAACTAAAGATATTGATTTCAATATAGATTGATTTTGGGCACACACACATCAGATGAACAAAATCACCTGCTGATTGCCAGCGTGCAGCTGCCCAATGAAGATGCTCAGTTTGATGCCAGCCACTATGACAATGACAAGGGTGGTGAGTATACACTCCAAATATGTTTCATAAAAGCTTCAAAAAAAAGCTATCTCCATCTTAGCATACCTTATTGTGTATTTTACAAATGACAATTTACTACCAACCAATATGAAAGAAAGAAAGAAAAATATATTTATTTGGCACATACAAAACATTTATACATTTTACAAAAAAATATTTAAAAATACACATGTTTAAACCAATTTGTTCACAGATTGGTTTTTACTCAGCTTTCTGTCTAGGTTGTAATGCCCAAATGCAGATTTTTCAGTAATATTTATTTTTGCTTTATATTATTCTCTCTAATATTGGGAATGTGAAAGTTAGTTTATTACGGACAGGGTTTCAATAAGCACTAAATCTTTTGTATTGGTTGATTACTACTTAAATGTGTATATTTAGCATACACCCAGGTTATTTTTTACTATATCTGTACTGTTTTTACTGCTTGGAGTTATTCTTTGCACTTTTAAATAAATCTGTATGAAAATAAAGCCAATATAATGTAATCTAATAACTATTAGATGTTCTAAATAAAATATTATTACTCTGTTCCTTTTTTTAAATTGTTAGCAATAGAGTTTTATATAATAGCAAAAGATTACATGATTAAGCTCCTAATTTCCATTTTTCAGAATTTGGTGGCTTTGGGTCTGTATCCGGCAAAATTGATATTGAAATCAAGATCAACCATGAGGGTGAGGTGAACAGGGCGCGGTACATGCCACAGAACCCCTGTGTTATTGCAACAAAGACACCATCCTCGGATGTGCTTGTATTTGATTACACAAAACATCCATCAAAACCAGAACCATCTGGTGAATGTCATCCAGACCTAAGGTATAAATATGTTTCGCATTGGTATATGTAGAAATTTTTATTTATTTTCTTTGATAATTTGCAATCTGTTAAAGTAAATGTGCTAAAATTTAGCAACAGTTAAATTTTTATTATTAGTAAATTCGGTTGGTGGATGATTAATTACAGAGAAGAGACTCTTCTCTATAATTAGTCAACCGATATAATATACGCGCTATGGTGCAGTTGTAATTTACTTTGTTTCAATCGCACTAGATTTGTCTTCTACACATGAATGAAATAAGTTATATAATCAGGAAAATAAAAATGTTTAATGGCTTTTCCATTTGCAATAATACAAAATTCCTGTTAATTGGGTGCTGCTTTTTCAAGAATATGATAGATACTTATTTTACATGTTTGTGAAATGATCTCATTAGGTATTTGATATTTGCAGATTGCGTGGTCATCAGAAAGAAGGCTATGGGTTATCATGGAACCCAAATCTCAATGGTTATCTTTTATCAGCCAGGTAAATTTGAATAGTGACATTAGTAAACAATAACATTAATTATTTATGAATCATTTTGAGCTTGGATGTGCTGGATATGTCATACACATGTCTAACTCCTATTGTAATCTCATATACTCTTTTCCTCATTCAATCTAACACATGTACAGTAATTATAAGTACATAATATATTAGTTAGCATTTAATTAAACTACTTTAACATATTAGACCCAGGGGTCTGTATTTCAATACTTAAATAGTATCTGTAATAATGTATGTTAGGTTTAAAATAATATAGGTAGTACATAGTTAATTTAATAGAGTTATAAGTACTCTAATTGCAAATCTTTATGATCCTAAATAAATAAGTAAAAAAGGCAACATATTTTTTACAACAAGTATTTTAGTGGAAATTTAATGTTATATTATCCTACATGTGTTCTACAGGAATTTAGTTTATTTTCTTATCTATAAAATGATTATAGGTAAATTGTATGAATTAATTCCCTAGAATCAAAAGTCCTTACTTTGACTTATTATCTATCCCACCTGTTTTTGCTGGCAAGCACTCTGCTTTATAAGTTGTGTTTATATAGAATGGTGAGATATTGATAAGGCATGACATCTTAGTTCCCTGTAATGGCAATGGATGTGTAGCATGCAATTGGGATATATTTGTTCATGTATATAAGCGAAAGTTGCCGCTTACCATCAGAAGAGCCGTCAGGTTATCTGTTTTCCATTCTTGTACACAATAAAAATTATTGAATGTTTATTTTAAAAAATCCTTGTCATGGGTACTTCAATCTCACCTATTTCAGATGATAAGGAGCTTGGTTTGTACTACAAAGCTACATAGTTTGTAGATTGTTTCTGTTGAAGGGTGAGATAAATTACAGAATAAGCATGGATTCTTAGTCATCAGAACTGGTGGTAGCACATGAGTAGAATCACGGGTATAACGTGATAACTGCTGCTCAGCTTCACAAACATCTCTTGTAATATTTATTTTGATCAAATATATAATTATTGTGTAGAAAATGCGAAAGTTTGAAAGTAACCAATGTTTTGTTTGTCAGTGATGATCACACAATCTGCCTATGGGATATCAACGCCACCCCCAAAGAAGGGAGGGTAATCGAAGCTAAGTCGGTGTTCACTGGTCACACGGCGGTCGTTGAAGACGTCGCGTGGCATCTGTTGCATGAATCATTGTTTGGTTCTGTTGCCGATGATCAAAAGCTGATGATATGGGACACCAGGTATGGTCCAAAAGGTCTACACAAAATAGTGTTCTATATTGTTATGGGTGGAGTAGTTGATAATATATTTATTTATAAAAAAACATATGTTACTAGTAACTGTAACTTTTTCCTTGTAAAATGTGAGCATATCTCACATTTTACTGAGAATATTTGAAACACATGTGGCAGGGAGCGAGCCTACAGTTGTTTATTAAGGAATCAAATATCCTCACCGTTGCTTCTCAATACATTTATGAAAATATCATCTATGCCAGAAGGAATATAGACAGTTTCAAAAGAGTTAGTGATTGCACTAATAAAAGCCTACGTAACAATAACAAACTGATTTTACCTAAATGTCGTTTGGCTAAAGTTAGTAATTCGTTTTATGGCAATTGCGTAAGGTTTTACAATAAAATACCAGAGTCTGTTATAAATCTGTCAGAAAAAAGATTTAAAAAATTGAAGAATTCGTTAACGATAATAATGTTTTTATAGAAAAACTTTAAATCTATAGCACTGACAATATTATCTGATTACATTAATAATGAGTGCGTAGCGACTTCTATGTTGATTATCGCATGCCTCTTACTTGTTATACTGTAATTATTTATATAAAAAAATATATTGTTTTTTATATAAATAATTACATTTCTACACAAGTTTCTTGCACAAGTTCTTCTTGTGATGAATCTGCATTCCGAATGAGTGGTAGAATCAAAATATGACTATTCAAAAGTGCTTGTAATGAGTTTATTTGAATAAAGATTATTTCTATTTCTATTTCTATCTCATTAATTTGGTTTGTTATGGGTGTTTTCCATCACCAGACAGGCAGTCAGAAATATAAATTGGCACACAAAATTTAGCTATCCACTTTGGGTAAAAATCAGGGTAATAAAGTTTTATGACTCGAAATGGTGTTAAAACTTTATTATTCTGATTAGGAGAAAAAATTTAAATATTATTGATGATTTTTCATAACAATTTACTAATATTTCTCAAAAAACATTTTTTATTGACTTTACTGTTATGTTATGATGTAATATACAAAATACAAAAATACATGCAGATGTAACAACACATCCAAACCATCACACACTGTGGATGCACACACTGCAGAAGTGAATTGCCTTAGCTTCAATCCCTACTCAGAGTTCATATTGGCTACTGGCAGTGCTGACAAAACTGTAAGTATCAACAGAATTGAAATCTTTGAATGAATTTTAATTTATATAATGTTTTTTAATATCATGTTTAAGAATTATAATAAAATTTAGAATATCACCAATAGCATTACTGGTGTATTTATTTTAATACACATAACAATTTTAAATTAATAAGTAAGATTCTACAATATTGTTTCAACACAGCCATAACTTGTTTTCCGTATAATATTCTAGTACAGAAACAGAAATACAACACTGGTAACACAAATCAGACGTATTCAGAATAGATTCTGTCTATGAAATAATCTTTGTGGAACTGACGTCGGTTTGACTGAAAATGGCTGTAATAATTCTCCTGATAATTTAGTTAAACATACTAAGATATTTTGAGCCTTTATTCTGTACCTTACTATTTCAACATTAAAATAATAATATTTTAAGTATTCCCTAATACGATCATGCGTTTATGTATTGTTACTAATTCTGTTATTCGCATAGGTGGCACTATGGGACTTGCGAAACTTGAAACTCAAACTACATTCGTTTGAATCGCACAAAGATGAAATATTCCAAGTGCAGTGGTCGCCGCACAATGAAACTATCTTGGCTAGCAGTGGCACAGACAGGAGGTAAATTATATCACACTATATTTTTGCACCTATAAGATATGAAACTTATTCTTTCTTTTGTTTTTATCTGACTGTAGCATCTCTATAAAAGGACATTAGTCTGTTATTAACATACTAACCAGGGTAGCTTGACATTTTAGTTTGAATTTTCCTACCGTATGACTGATTTATTACCATAATTTGTTCATCTAGTCGCTGCTTACTAAAATAACCTTGAAATAAAATCCAGTAATGTATTTGTTTTTACGTTATTTGTTTATTCTGAATTTACAGAATCGATTGATTGGTAAAAACCAATAATATTATTATACTATCTAATATAATGTATTATTCTAGACTTCATGTGTGGGATTTGTCCAAAATTGGTGAAGAACAAACTGCAGAAGATGCTGAAGACGGTCCTCCAGAGTTACTGTTCATTCACGGAGGTCACACCGCCAAAATTTCGGACTTTTCGTGGAACCCTAATGAGCCGTGGGTTATTTGCTCTGTCTCTGAAGATAATATTATGCAGGTAAGTTAATTATATATTTCGAGTGTGATAGCAGAATCGCCTATTGATTGATTGTAATTTGTCATCAATTGGGAGCATATTTAATGTATCACATATAATTCACAATATTACAGGTAAAAATTTTCTATTATATTCTTAGATAAATTTTCATATAAATAAAATAGCTTTGTTTATATTAGTTTGATATGATTAGGAATGATTGATAAATTCTTGAAAAATTTCGAAGTCTGAAAATTGAACAACAAGAGCCGAAAATTGTGACTTCCCTAAACAAAGATAACAAAAAGAGGCTCATTTGAAACGCGCAATTATATGAAATACAGATAGGCCAAGGGGAAATAGCGATTTCTGATATCATATCAGAGATGTCAATCAATGCTTTTCTAATATTGATCCTTAAATCCAACTGTGCTAATCGGGAATTTAGTAACTTCATAAGACACCTTGAAGAGAAGAGAAAACTTATAATAAGATAACATTAGTTTTAATTTGTATAACTGTATTATTTTTAAAATGTTACTTGATACAGGTGTGGCAAATGGCAGAGAACATATACAACGACGAGGAGCCAGAGACTCCCGCGTCGGAGCTAGAGTCGGGCGTCAACGTCAACCACGGCTAGCTGTCGCCCGTCCGCTCCCCCGTGGCTGATGTTGCGCCCATGGACACCACTTGAAAAACCTTACTGTTCACAGATACTGATACGGAAATTTTGAAACAAAACTTTTAAACAGTTATGAAGATTAGTGTTTTACAATTAATGTTAATATTTTTATTTGTAAGCCATTAAGTCTATGACCGGTATTGTTACGCTTACTTACTCTTTATTTTTGTATCCAATAGTCAGCAACTAAAATGTATAAGTGTTTTTGGAATGTATATCGTACATTCCCTCAGAAACAAAATGTCAAGATATTTTGAGTGTGAAAAATATCTTTAATTATTGATTTTTATTATATATAGAGTTAGTTTATTAGTGTAGAAGTCGATTTTGTCGGTACTTGTTGTGTTTATAATGGTTGCATTTATTTTGTAATACATAAATAATATTAATTCGAAATTCTTCTATTTTTTTTCTATGTCGGTAAATTAGTATGTACATTGTCGCAATGAGAGTGATACTTTGTATGTAGACTTTATGGTTTACTACAATTAACATATATGAACAGGATTTTATAGTGTATTCTCTATTTTTTTAATGACACTGCAAATTATGTACACTATATATTATGTATATTTTGTGTATGTTCATATAAGGTTCGTATTAAACTTGATACAATACAAAGAATATTGATATCTTTAATGCAATTGTAAACACTGTCTACATAATTATAAATTGTCAACTATTTGGTTTGTATGTGTGATCAGTAAAGTGTCAGTGATGGGAACTTTGGTGTTTAGTTAATAAGTGAATGTTAATTTGATGTTGCATCTGTTTTTATAACTCTCATATTTCAAGAAATGTAATAAGAATTAAGTTTATTCAAAGAATACATGCACCCACATCAAAACAAGATACTTAAATACAATACGCTACAACTTTAAATAGAATAGGTAATATAATATCCCAAAATAAATAGAACAGTCAATAAAATGTTAAAGCGTTAATGTGAATATGTCCGTCATAGTGTTCAATGAACTGTTCAACATATTGCTGCAGCGTTTGATTTCACTACACAGTTGTGGTCTCTCATCTCTCTCATTACAAAAATGCAAAACTATTGTTATTAATAGCCACTGTCATTTTTATTGTAATATATAAAACCATTAAATATCAATTACACAATTAATAAATATCATCACGGCCCACATTATTAGTTTCATCTGATAAGAACCCATCGGTATAAAATATGTACTGTTATTGATGTATGTTATTATAAAATTGAATTTGATATAAATGTTGGTGATTTTTATATGCTGTCTGATCTTATTGCAACGAAATAAAGTCCATTTTGGATTACGTTTAGGTTTATCCATGTAGCTATATTCTAGCTACTATTATTTCTATAACATCGGAGGTTACAAAGAGAGCTGACTCCTCCGTACTGCTTTTTAAAATATTACATCTAGCGCAAGTCGTCAAAATCGGATTAATCTGTAAAGTCATTAGCGTCAGTTTGGATCGATCTAGAACTAATAGTATGGTCAAACTATTTGGATAAACCTTTACTATTGTAGATAATGGATACTTTATAAGTGGGTTGTAATTAATGTTGCCAACAGATATTTGATAACACGCGTAAACAACAGTTATTTATTAAATGGAATCTCATACAACAAAAATTTCATATTGCTATTTCTGCTGTCAGTATTGTTAAAATGATCTTATGTTGTCATTTTTAACGGTGGATAATAATGTGAATAATAGTTACATATAGTTTTAGAAACACTGGACATTTTTTTTCATTGTATTTATTATTAACAAGTAACGGCTGAGAGATATTATTTTTCTATCTTTTATTTGTCATGTATTAAGGTGGGTCACACAATAGGTCCAATTTTGTGAAAGTAGCGTATAATTCGGTCGCGTAACCGCGTAACGACTGAGGGTAATAATAGTGTTGGAGCAGTAATGAAAGTAATTTTAAGCTATTCTAATAATATTATGATTAAAGTTATCGTAATAATTATATTGCTTTTTTATGATTGCCACAAATTTCTTAACCTACTTCCATATACTCGACTCTCACGGATCTGTAACGCATTATGAACGTCTACAATTCCGATTGCTGTATTAATATATTCCGAATATAGATTGCCCGATATTTGTAATAAAAAATAAAATACAAAAATCCTATCCTTGGTATTTTAATATGCACCAAATTTAATTTAAATAGGTATTGAAACCGAAGTAGAAATTACGCATATTTATGACCACGGAAGCTCACAAAATGTTCGTATTCGTTCGGTTAAGAATAATTATTCTTAACTCAAAAAAAGGTTTTGGCATTTATTTTCTGCCGAATTGAAGAGTTGTGCAAAAATTGCACTGAATGCTATTCCTATGTAGTTCGTGCTACAAATTCTGTGTGACTATTCATAAAGCAGAAAGTGGACCAAAATTTCAGCACACATTACACACTACACTACTGAGGAACCTGTTTGTAAAAAGCTATTTTTTTTTTCATGATACATAAAGGCTAAGATTATAGTTGTCTAATGTCAATTTACTAAACGTAATGCTGGCAATTCAAGAACTGGCTGTATGTTCTAGAAACCTTTTCCTGTGTATATGGCAATTATGAAAAATAACAACTTTTTAAGCTGTAAGTTCTGAATGTATGGTATACTAGCTACAGCGGTTTCACCCGTGTTAAATTTCAATAAAAAATATAGTCTATATGTTATTCCGATGCATAAGCTATATTACTGTAAAATTTCATCAAAATCCGTTGAGTAGTTTTTCTTATATTACACTCGAGGCTTAAATAAATAGTATCAAGTAAATAAATAGGAAATACAAAATCAATTTGTTAAATTTTTACTCACCTATTTTTTTTTATAGTTCATTCAGTTAGTGTAGTTAGTACGTTTGTGTTTACGAAAGCATGGACTTAATAAGATTAGATGTATATCGAGTCGTAGATTAATATCAACTTGCCATGTGACCACGGGTGTATACGCATGCGTACATCGAAGGGATATCAGGAATGTAGGGCTGTTTTCACGTTCATCGCCACACCCCATGACGTCACCAGCAGTTATACTGACCGCTTTATTACGAAAACTCCAGTCAAACGTTGAAATCGGCGCGAAACAATGTCACCCCTGACGTTCATTCTCTTAATTTTAATATCAACGACTTGTGCAAGAAAATCAGGTGGCGGCAGATATTCTGGACGCGGTTCACACGGTTCTCATAGCTACCCTCAGTCTACCGGCTACTCGGGGGCCGGCACGGGTACCAAATATACTGGGGGTGATCACTCCTACCCTGCATCGACAGGTCTCTCAGGTCATGGGCAGCATAACCAACAACAAAACATACAGCACACACAAAACCAGTATCACTCACAAAAAAACCAGCGCGGCTCAAATGGGCATCAAACTAAGACTGAGATCCATCATCATTACCATTACAATCCGCCGCAGCAGATCACTTACGGCTCTCACAGTCTCCCCGTATATCAAGGCCACCCGCCGGTCTATGTATACGAGTACAGAAACTCCGGGAGCAGATTCGATACATTATTAACAGGCCTAGCTCTATATAATCTCGGAAAAATGTCAGCCAATCATCACCACCACGGACATTATGATGAGTATAGGAGTAACCCAGGAGAAATATGCAAATTAGGTGTGAGTAAAAATAACGGGGACTACGAAGAAACACGCATTGATTGTAAACTTATGTCCAGTTTTATTTGGGAAGCGCACTCCACCACACAGGATCAGTCTTCTAAGGATATGGTGGTGACGAGCGTCGTGAATGTAACCCAAACGAACTCTACTGCAAATGGGACAGTGACCAGTTCAGTCACTGTTACCAACTCAACAGTGGTCGACGCTCTGGCAGTCAAAGGACCGTCGTTAGCAGTTACACCTGACATGAAATGTTTTCTTATGCGCATTTCAAGAGATTCTTCAGTTTTAAAAAAGTCTGTTGACTGTGGAGTGTTACAGGTCTATGCCACGAGTTCTTTACGTCGCAATAGTTCAAGTAGAAGCCTCCCTAGATGTCTTACTATAATTTTCGTATTATTTTTATGTAATATGTTATTATCTATATAAGAAATTCACGGACGTCACGTAATAAGGTGATAGGTCAGTTACTGATCATGTACATAAGCGACGGTTACCACTTACCATTAGTATGAACGTCAGCTAGTTTGCCAATTCAATAACATAAAAAAATCGATGCACATGTGTATTATGTAGGTACTTGGAATATACAAGCTGAGCCCGCGACTTCGTACCCATGGTATTCTGAAATACTTTTTTGTTTGAAAACCTATAGGAATGAAAATAGCACTAAATTATAGTGAAGTTTACCACTTTACAAAGGAAAAATCGCAACGAAATTAGCGATTAGTACGCACAAACAAACAAATGAACAGACCAAAATTTTAACACTCATTGTTTTCGATTCTGTTACGTTTGATAATTAGTCGCAGTAATGGTTTTTCTCATCTCATATCATCCATATATAGACTACATTTTTATTATATTACATTTTTAGTATTATGTAGGTAGAGACGTGTTATTCAGGCGCGTATATAACACTGCTCAGACGCTATTAGCGTCCCGACTTCGTGTCGCCGTAAGTAAACATAAACATCCCATGGGACTTAATCAATAACAGACTTGACATTTTGCCAAACAGTAGTATAGCTGTGTATATAGGATATAGACGGTTTCATAAAAATCGTCTATATCTTGCAGCATGATTGCAATTTATGTCCTTATATAAAATAAGGAATAATATTATACTTATATACATATATTTTAAATTGTCTTGAAATTGTTAGAAAAGAAAAGAATTGGTACTTTTTGTGTTTTTTTTTAAATTATAAGATTTGTGAAACTATTGACAACTTTTGTCTGATTAAGAGTACGTACATATTTTATATACTCTGCAAGAAGCAGTGATTATTCTAGTGCTGTTTATTTCTGAATACTTACGTAATATTCTTTAGTTATTGCTTTAGGTATTTATTGCCTCTTCTTACAATACGATATACATAAAGCTGATTGTATCTTTTATATACAAACGTAGTATTAAAGGTAAATAAGTGTAGGAAATTTGTCTTCTAAAAATAAATAAATATTAAAAATGTAAGACATTTATTTCATAAACATATGTATATTATAACAGAATGATTATCTTAACGTTAATGACTGTAGATTATTCTGATATTCGAAGCTGGATGACACCAAAATCGTGTAACGACTTATATTTCTGACTGCCTCTTCGGTGATAGAAACATCGGTAACAATATAAGTATGCCCGAAATGTGGCCGTCTGTTTCTTTCACCATGAAATCGACAATTGACAATGCCTCTGACTGAGTCTGACTGCCCTATGTGGGGTAGTCGTGATGGAATATTATTTATATTATTATCATTAATATTTCATACATAAACACAATACCTATATCAGCCCAAATTGTAATAAAATCGGTTTGGCGCGCTATGTGATACAGCGATTGTAGCCTTAGGAATGACGGTGATTTCTAAGGCTACAATCGCTGTATCATCCAATATACTTTTGATGGATTATGATCAATGAGCTTACTATACTTTTAGGATTGAATGACGCGATTGCAAAAAATATCATACTAAAATCAATATAAAAGCTACACCAAAAAGGTTCCTTTTTCTCTCTTTTCTGTTCCACAGATTACAAAACATAAAATAGAACCTACTAATTGTAATGATTAGGTACTTGGTCAGTGTATACCTACTAAATATAAATTCTCGATTACAAAATATAAGTCAAATAATGTTTTAATTTTAAACGTTCTTCAACAACTATCGGAGTTGAAGAACGTTTAAAATTGAGACTCAATGTTGCTAAGATATTATTTAGGTATGAAGGTTATACTTCATTTTCATAGATTACATTTATTCACAAACTACACAGCTTTCCTTGGATATTAACAATAAATCATATATGTACTCGTACGTTACTTGTGTACCTAGATTGGACGATGGTATTGCTTATTTATATCCAAGTAAAAATACATATATCATGTAAAAATTATACATTAATTTTATCAGAAAATAACTTCGGTAGTGTCTGCCAGCACTCGTAATATTTCGCATCCAGTTTCTGACAGGTCTCAGCGCCCCATTTTGTGATGGCAAGGCTCAGAGAGGATTCGAACATAAAGGCCTGTAACAGAACATTAAAGTATGGGCACGGGCGTGTACCTATAACTTCTGAACCAGGGAAGCAAGTAATTGTTTTTTCTCCTCTCAAGATAATATCGCAATAGAATATCTGTTTTTTAAAGATAAAAGATAGTTTAGTTTGTAACCGTCCTCGTAATACCATCTACCTTCACGTCAAACATTGCTATCCGTGCAGTCATTTAGCGGAAGTGTAATACAAAGACACATTTATAATTTTAACGTGGATATAAGACTGTTTTAAAATTCATAGATGATGTAAAATATAACCTGAGTGCCGACAGCAATTTTCTGTGGCTTCAGTTCTCCGTAAGAAGCGCCGTTGAAGCATTTATCATCAGGACCATGTGGTGTCATCAAAGAGTGGAGAGATGCCCCACCGGGCAGGAATCCGCCCTCTTTTGCCTCGTAAGAACCCAGTATCAGGCCCATAAACTCGCTCATACAGTTTCCTAAAGCGGACATCAGAAATAATCCTTTGTTTTAAGTATTTTAACAGCGACTTTCCATGTAACTTAATATGCGCGTATAGATAAATAGTTCTACCTACTATTTTTAAACCGTAAACGTTCCAAATTATGTTTTAATGATATAAATTATTCAGGAAATAAAATTTATTGATATCTATATCCATAGCAGTGCCAGATACCTGGTCAATTGTGTTTTCAAACTAGCTAAGAGCTCGTTGAAATATACATAAAATATTTCATCAAAATTAATCCAGCTATTAGTAGAAGTTAGGTGATGAAACATACAAACTACATTCCTACGACAAGGTGTTCCCTGTATTCCTACGACAAAGTGTGAGACAATGAATATGATGTAGAGTCTTACTGTGATAGTAGGGTGGCCTAAAGGTGTGTTCCTGGACGGACCACCGCGGCGGAAATATAACGAAGTCTGCTATGGCAACGCCTGCCTTCGTAGATGGACACGTGAGCACAGTGAATATTGACGGATCCTGAAATAATAATAATAATTCTGGACAATTCACGTAGCGCTATCACAAGAAGAGCTTGCATTATGGACACTAGGGGATTTTGATACTTAAATATATATTTTTATTAATATATACAGAATATACTTGATCGAGATAAATAATCATACTCATGAATATAAATCAAATATAAATGTTTGTAACTTGCGAGAAATCGAACCCGCGGCCATCGGAAGTAAAGCAAGCTGAGCTAAACCTTTAGTAAGAAACTATGTATGTACTTATTAGTGTATATCTGTTTATTAATTTAAATTTATTAAAGAGACGGTGTTGCTTCTAATGGTTGTTTTTCTAATAAAAAAAATTGAAACGACTTTGCCCTCTCTACCTACCCAATTAGCTAATTGGGCGAATTGCGTGAGAATATACGAAATGCCGACAGGCGTAAGTTAGGTATAAGTAAATTTTTTCATGACTGTCAAAATTTTATGTAAATCTTGAACGCTAAATATTATTTTTAAGGGGGTCTTCCTATGTGACGGCCTGTTTTTTAGGGATATTTTAGGATTTTTGTTCTACGAGCAGTAAATATTTAGAGCTTCAAGTTTTTTATCATTTATTAACACATATTTGGACAGTATAAATATAAAATTTCAGCTAAAAATATTCAGTCAAACTAGAGTTACAGCGCTCTGAACACCCCCGCCTCGAAAAAAAGAGCTCCCACTTCCTCCACGATTCCGGCTGATCACTTATCTGAAAAAAAAAAAAAATTATCGGCGTTTTAATTTGTAGGCTTAAAAGCACGGAATGACCTATAATCAAATGAATATAAATAAAAATTGGATTTTTGATAGACATTTGAAATAAAAGTTGCAAATTAGGCGTTTTTTTTTTTTGTTACATGAAGAAGTGTAATGTTATAAAATTGTAATTGTAAGGTGATAGTTGATAAATAAATAGATAAATGAATATAAAAGTATTTTGCTATAAAAAAATCGAAGTTTTGAAAATTTTCGATTGATAATAGTTCATTCCATGCGTTTACATATATTGAGTGTGCCCTGTAAATTTCAAGTAATTCGGTCCAGCCGTTTCTGAGATACAATGGAGGAAAGTTTGAAAAACACAGTTTTGAGAAAAACGCGTTTAAAGTTTCAAGTCCGTTAAAAACTATTAAAATATCAACTTACTCTCAATCGGCGATGCCTGGTCCATAGAGTATTCCTTCCTCTTCCTCGTGAAACTCTTTTAAAGCAGATTGTTCAGCTCTTGAGTCAATCCTGGCTTGTTTAACGACATCACTTACGCGCCGCTCAGAGCGTAAGATTCGCTTTTCATCCCGTTTCTCAACATACGCTTGGGCTTCACGACCAACAGGGCATCCCATAATCGACATAACTTTTAAAATACCTTGAAAACCTTCATTAAAGATAATAACTGCTAAGTAGCTAGCAATTTCAACAACTTTGGGACCAGAATGAAGATGTTTAGGAGCGAAAGTCCAAATCAAAGAATTCAAAGATTCGTTATTGTTTTGTGTCTCTGCTCCTAAACAACGAATTAATAATTCGTCTTTCGATAAATCTTCGAAAACCGGTTTGATAGCTTCTTGGACTTGCGGAATTAGAGGTGGTTTATCGTGATGAAATTGGTCCAGTTCATTATTAGCTTCAGCCTTACGCCATTTACACCAACTGTCTTTGCCTTCTGGACAAAATTGATGCTGAGGGTTTTCATCAGAAGAACCAATCCACTCGTACTTCCTTTCCGTCCACTCATTATGAAAAAAAATAATTTGTAGCTGTTGCTCTCTTCGAAGTTCAACCAAGACTAAAATAACTTCGGTAAAATATTATAACAATAGAAATTTCTGTTTAAGTCTGTAGAAACGTGTCTAAACTTGTATAAACAAATATATTAATAAAAGGGAGGCCAGGTATAAAGCCGACGGTACACAATAGGCCCGGTCTCTAACTGCCAACTCACCGCTCCGAACCGCTCTTTCTTTTACCTGCTGTATCTTTAAAACGACTTCGAATTTTCTAAAATCGCTTTACTACCGTATTCTAGACATGTTAAGGGAGCAATTTATGAAAAAAACAAAAATCGATTTTTTCAACCCATCACATAGGAAGACCCCCTTAAAGGTGAAGACACTGTGACGAGTACGCAGTAGAATTATTATAATGAATACGCAGTAGAATTCTTTAATAATATATTTTTTGAATAATAAAAGATACCTATATTATTTGTGATTCAAAACGATTATGAATTGTTGTTACAATTCAAAACGTTAGATAATTAGAAATCAGGGACAGTTTTTTTTTTAAATATACCTATCTAGGTAGTTTATTTAAGATTGTACAAAAATAACAATGTATAGTTTCTGGTAATCATCCTTATGAACTCAGATGAATGTTAACGATAATTCAATAACTTCTTCTTTTAAGAAAAGTTCATTGACTTACAGTGCCTAATAAAAGTAATACAGTATTTCTATGACCTACACGAGAAATAACTACTTATAAGGTAACTAAATACAGCATGTGCTACATAGATAAGATCACGTTTCTTTGAAGTCCCAAATTACGATTATCGTTCTTGTACTAATTTACTCACACAATGGTCAAAGGTAACAGCGTTGATGACCATAAATCTGGCCAAATCATATTTATAGGGCACGTAGTTTCCGTGCCACGCAACCACGTCGAATGGGGAGTGGTTTTGTTCAGCCACGAATATGGCGCCTTGGTACTTGTTTATTAATTTAAACCCTGAAAGGTAATGAAATAATGAGGTAATATTACAAATAAAGAATATTTGCTGCTTTAAATTGCGACCAAATGGAAATAATTTTCGCGCAAGGTCGCAATTTTTTAGAAATGCTATATCAAGTTACGACCTTTAGGAACCAAGCAGAAAAAAAATCAGAATGAATCGTAAGTGTCGGAAGGGGAAAGAAGAAGGCTCGTCTACCACGAGTGAAACCATTCCTTTTTCATTACTTATTATATATTAATAAATAATGAAAAAGGAATGGTCATGCCTTACACACCTTTAACCTTTACAAACTATATGTAAAGGTTAAAGGTGTGTAAGACATGATATTAAAATGGAAAATTAACGTTTACTTTACCAGGTATCTCTTCATCATGATAACATGCCACCGGTGTTAAGAAGTCCCTTGGATTTGCCAAGCCGTTGGCTCCAATAGGTCCAAGATCTGGTAACTTGAAATGTCCATCGAATACTTCTAGAATGTATCCCCTAAGACATAAAACAGATCCTTAATGTCTCATGTATAATCGTCAATAATAGAATAACCAAATGTAACTGGAGGAGGAAAATTAAGAATTGTTAGTAATGAGGAATGCAGTCTACTGAAGGTACCTACTGTTGTATATTTTATACTAAATAAATATTCTCTATGGTTTTGGGTTACGCTCTCTCTGTGGTCACTGTGTTCAGTCACACAAAATGTTACTACATTTTGTAGTCTCCTGGAGTAATACAATATAATTAAAATAAGTCGGTGTTGGTTTATGTTAAAGACCCACGCAACAATAAAAACATGAAAGGTACCACGTCAGGTCGATACACACGGCTCCCCTGTTTATCCACGAAACCATCGTGGTTACCTAATTCCTTGATGGGCTCACTAACCTGTATCCTATTATCCTTCACTGGTACCATGACAGCGTTAATAGATAAATTATCGTTCGTAAAAAATTGTGTTAAATGTGTACTATCAACAAAATCATTTACCTGGTAGGACCTTCCACTGCAACAGAGAATCTCATACCGAGTTGTATGACGGCTATCTCATTAGGAATCACCTCCATTATGCCAAACTCGGTAGTTATCCTCAGCTTACCCTTCTGAGGCACTAAAATAATCCATAACTATTTAATTATAAATAATTGTATATATTGACTAAATCTAATTGACATGACGATGCCTGTGATGCTGTTTATGTATATAGACGATGACTATCACTTAATTATTACACCTCCCATCGATTCCCCGGTCAATTAAAATGGGGATCAAAATTACGGACGGCCTGAGTCGAGGTTCGAACACCTAAGGATGCCCTCAGACTAAAATTGTATCCCTCAGGCAGTAGTTGGCCTTCAGCTGCTCCACAAGTCCTTCTGCGGGTTTGAAGTGCCATCTGCACTCGGCTCCTATCGTTCGGTGAAGCTATAAAGGCCTAAAACCATAGTAGGTTTTAAAGCTTTTTGTTAGGTAAGTAAAGCTATAAAACTTACTATTAGGTAGGCCGTCATCGTGTTTGCCATTCCAATTATATAAACTGATTAAGAAACTGACCAATAAGTAAATCTCCATCGCTGCTGTAGAAAGCACTTTTTTCCATGGAACTGTTACATAAATACACGTGTATAGCGATGCCATGACGCGAACGCGCGTCGCCAGCCCCGCATACTGTATGAAGACCAGTTACAAAGTCCACATGAGACGCCGCTGGCGGAAGATCGAATGGCAGCCAACGAGACTAGAAAATATTAAATACATAATAATATGTATATATATTAGGGCAATTCACACAGAGCTATCTACTCCCAAGCTAAGTGTTGTATTATGGATACTAGACAACTGATAATACACACATGAAACATCCAGAAAATAGAAATAATCATACAAATTAATACAAATATTTGTACCGTGAGAGGAATCGAACCAGAGAATCAAACATCGAATGTAAGGCGGTGTGCTTAACCACTAGACCACGAGGTTTTTGATAAAGTTATCGACATTAATTACATAATATGTTACTACCTGATTTGGATCTGGTTCTTGTTCATCCCAATTGTGAGTGAGGTACTTCGCGACGGCATGCCTTTTGAAAGGTTTATGAATTACGGAAGGACGTATCCTAAAATAAAACAAAAAGTTATCATAGTACAATATAGTAATAGGTACTACCTATATGAACTACGTATGACCTACGTAGTAGACTATGGCAGATTAATTGAAAAAATATATCATTTAAAATTGAAATGTTATATAATTAAGTATGCACCTATTCTAATAATTTCCGAGGCAGTCAATATATAGGTATACACGTATGACTTTAAACAGCCCATATTTAATTTAAAATTTAAAAATTATTTTTATAATTGTTATGTACTATAATCTATTTTCTTTCTTCTTTCTTTCAAAGAAGTGATGTCCAGATTTAGGATTATTTAAGCCTTCCAGAATTCGACCCCAAATGTCGTGAGTTCAAATCTGGCCAACACAAAAACATCTTTGTTTCTATTTATACAAGTACCTATGTCTGACTGACTCTTCGGTGAAGGAAACACTGATAAGAAAATATTCTGAGATTAAGCAGGCGTTGAATTCAAGTACATCCAGCGAAATATGGTCATGTCATATTGTTGTGTTCAGTATAGCCCAGACAGTTGACGCGTTTGACTCCATCTAGGATAACAGACGTAAACTTATAGTACTATTATTAACTAATAAATAATATTATCACAACTGACCGGTACAACCACGATCTTTTATTATCGTGTCTGGGTGCTGTAAACGCGGTACCCGACAGTTGTTCAGCGTACAATCCATACGGGCATATTTGCGGGTTGTTCTGCCCAACTGGAAGAGCATTGGGCCTTCGTGGATCTTCTGAAGAAAACTCAGAGCCAAAGCCACTGAGGTACTGCCAAAATACATAATGAAATTAATAATAATAATAATAATTTTTATTGACATCATATTTACAGCCATTCTTTTAAACTGGGTATTTAATTCTTATTAAATACGCAGCATCCATTTTAGATAATCTAAAACCTACTACCTACTACTACTAGTAACTAAACTAGGCCAAGCCTATAGGAATACGTATAATTTGATTATATATATCACGAAATAATCCTTAATTCGGCAACGCGTACGTGACACCCCTGGTGTTTCAGACGTCCATAAGCTACGGTAACTATTCACCATAAGATGGGCCGTGTGCTTGTTTGCCACCATAGTAGTATAAAAAAATCATATTTTTATCTAAACAGATTTTGAATAAAATTACCCGTGTAAGTACCTATTCTTGTTTCATGATATTACAACCGCCAAATAGCTTACTTTGTAAGATGTAATATAATGTATGTAGAGTTCATACACCAAGTATAGTTAGTGTTCATATTAGTTAGTCTGTTTGTAATTTCAAATAAACAGCTTTTCTGTAAATTCACATGTAAATTTACAGAAAAGCTACTTACATAGAAAAATAATTTTATAAAATTTTATCTGTCTGTCTGTTAGTTCTTGCTTTTCTCCGACGGTTGGACCGATTCTGATGGGACTTACACTAACTAACTTAGACTACCTTATTTTAGAAATTGTATTTAAATTGTAATATGAAAAATAAAGTTTAATTACATGCTTACGAAGTCTCAGGTATCAGCTAGTATTATAATAAAAACACTTACCTTTAATTCCGTCATTTTCAATATTATTAACACACGGTAATCAAGTATCAATATCGAAAGCGAACTAATATCTATAAAACAGCGGAGTTGTTTACTTCACTTTATAAACTTGTATGCAAATGTTTGAGCCGGTTTGTTTATTAAAATAAAGATTAAAATGTTACTTATTATTGTATCTATCTGGCCGACTTGCTTGTTTACTGGTGTTTCAGGACGGAATAATATGGGTTTATTCCATAGATGAAGTGTTTATTATAAAAACAATATTTTGGTTTTATTATAAATTTATTCAGATTCCGTCAACGTGTTTATGCGTTTCGCTTGCGTTTCTACATACATGATAAAAGACTTAACCTCTATTAATGAAATTTGACAGAACGATAGCTCGAATTATATGATAAAAGTTATTACATATACGTGGAACGAAATTAAATATAGGTACCGTCTTTTATGACATTATAATTTGGTTGAGAGCTATATACCTAAAGTAGGTATTTAAATATAACATAATATTTAAATAAAGTCAAAGTTTGATGAAACATTGCATATTTTATTAACTGACATTAGTATTTTTATATCACAGATATAAATTTTAATAGTTTTATTTTTGTTTGGACTTGAGAAGCCAAGGCAATTTATTCTCCCCGTCTATGTCAAAAGTATCTACTTACCGTGACAATACATTTATATTGACTGGTATTTCTATAATTATCAATCATTACAGTGTATATTCATAGATTTCACATACTTAATTTAATTCTATAAATGTCATACCTACCTATTTTGAATATTAAAAGGTGTATTACGTGCTATTAGAGCTGTTTCTTCCATTGGGTATGTTAATAAGGTGACTGGTTTTATAATTGGTATTCATTATATTCCCCGTTTTGGTAAATTAAACAATATTGTGAAGTAAAATACAAATATTTTCATAACATTTCACTACCTAAAAATACATACATACGAACTTAACATGATGATTTAGCTGACCTTCATTCTCTACCTATCATTCTCCACTAGTGCTTCGCCAGTTTGTAGCGCTAGTGTAACCGCGTGCATTATTCAACAATTTAAATAATAGACTATACAGAAAAATAGGTTCTATGAGGAGCGGAATTAAACTTAAATTATGTTCGCAAAAATTTATTATCATACTTTTCATATTAACAATAATATTAAGCAATTATATTAATCAATTTAGATATTGAGATCTGAAGAGTACAGGGTTACATGTACATACTACAAAGGAAATGTTTAAAGAATACATATCAAATGTTTATAATGTCACAATTTCTATAAAAAGAGACTTCAATAGTCTCTTTTTATATATCTTATATCTTTCTTCTTGGTTTCATAATAAAAAAAATGCAAAATCAATATGCCATATTTCTTCTACTTGCTATGACGATTAAAATCTATTTAATGATACTAAACCGCCACCTTACTAAACTAATTTGGTTCAATACCATTGTCTATAGTGGTAATTTACCTGCAGTAATTAATACTTCTGTTACTTAAGTGAAGAAATATGCGTTGTTATATAAAATATTATTTTTTTTCTATACTAATATATTAAGAAAATAATAATAGCGCGGAAAAAGAAAAATTATTTTGTAAGAAACATAAACATTTGATAATATTCTTGAATTATGTGACTAAAGTTGGATGGAGTTGTTACTAATATCATGAGATTAATCATTTAAAATGGTAGCCTCTACAACTTACAACATGATAATAGATTATAATTATTATTGTTCTTATTAATACTTTATAGCTAGCTACCAGTGATAAAAACATTAGAATATATTGTCGCAACAAATTATACGAGTATAATATAATATTGTAATTCATTCAAATATAATAAAGAAAAATAATTTGCTATTAAAATAATCCCATAATAATTATGCAATAAAAAAATATATTTAAAAATGTGATGGTTAATATAAATTCAAATCTCTATAATTGTATGTTTAAAAATGTACTGAAAATGCTTTTAAGGTGTTTATTATTGGAAAACCAATAGTACCCAAACATACCAACAACATAAACAAAATAAAAAATCAGCCACGCACCTTTTTAATAATACTAAAATATTTCCCATTTACACTAAAATATGGTCGAATGTAAATTGGGCTTCTAACAATACACAATGAAAACAAAGGGCATTATTTATGTATAAACATATAAATTATGTTAATAAATTATGTATAACAAAAATAATAAAAAATATTTCTTTTCAATATAGGAGCATTAAACGTATTAAACTTTTGTTAGTAAGTTATATACTGAGTACATGCAATAAGTACATTTTTAAACAGCATTTATAATATGCATTTACTACATGCTCTGAAAATAACAGTTTGAAATGTTACAATCTAATACATCGACTAATATTATTATGCGTTAACAACAAACTTAATGGTAAACAACACAAATCACAGATATATAAAGCTTAAGGCGCGCCAACACAAACACAGCAAGCCTCGAAGCAAAATCAACGAACCACTTTGAGACCGAGTTAATATTCAGGATCAAAGACATACATTGAATAACACTTTACAATTGTTTGATCCATGGGCAAATACCACACTGAGCTATGGTCAACTTGCACAGATTTCCAGTGAACACATATTTTTAAATTTTGTTACTGTTTCGTAATATAAAATAAAGATAAAATAAATCGTGTACAAATTTTATTTTACACACACATCAAATGCTATATTGCACAGTAATATAAACAGAGAAACCAAATTTACTATAGATTTACGGGACCATATAGCTAATAAGAGATTCTACCTCATATAAATTAATAATTAAAAACTATTCATATATTTTGCAAGTAAAAGTAAACATTACAAAACACGGTCTCATTGTTGAAGATTGATTTACATTTCATATTACAACTTAACATTGCTATTACAGCTCTCAGTGCATAGGCCGTTTGGAAATCAAATCCACAGACACCTAAAAATATTATTTAAAAACTTAAAAGTATAAATGAGCGTATGACTATATGATAAACACTGAAATGTTGAAATATGTTAGTGTTAAACTATTACGATGAAACTAAGAAACATAACGATGTAATTATAATTGTATAAATACAACATACATCACTGAATGAAGTTGTGTCATTAATGCTGTATTGAAATGACTTTCATTGAAGTGTAAATACAGTTAACAAATATTAATGATGTTCACTAAGAATATCCTTATGATGCTCAGCCATAAATTATTTGATGATAAAATTAAAATAATTATAATAGCGACTCATTATATTTCTTAGTTACGGTCACTGTACTATTAATATCTACCCTTAATATACATTAATATCACACGGCCCTTACACGACCTAATACATATGCAACGATATCGTATATTGATATATTTGGTTATAGCTAAATTACATATTGAGACAACCATTGGAAAATATAAGCGCAAATATTACACATTTAAATTATTATTATGTGACTCCGACAATTAAATTTGATTTGCATTAAAAAATCGATAATTTTGAAAATAACCAAACCATTAAAATTAGCTTTAACAAAATTAAAGCTACAAAAGGTTCGTAATGTAAAAATCTTCAAATTCTAATGTACAAAATCTACTCTTTCTCTTTCCAACTCAGCCTTATTCTATGAAACTTGATGTCTTGATCTTTTTTATTTCTTATTCGAATTGTAAATTCAGTATCGACAAATTATAATATTGCATTTTCAGAAACCGATACAAAATACAGAAAAGGATCTTTTATATCACGTCAAGTTCCAGAATAGCGCCACCTTCGTATAAGCTCACGCCGTAACTGTTCCCCTATGTAAGAAAGATTTAAGAGCACTACAGTACTACAATAGGACAATACAAATATATATATAATTTGATTAAATAAACATCATCTTAAAAAATCTACAAATATTTTTTCTGGTACCATTTCATTCACGTAAATATCGAATTATACAAAAAAAAATCGGAAAATTCATTTCATAATTAAATTACAATATTCATTCATTGTATATCAATACCATAATCAGTATATGTTTATAATATTACATTACATTACATCAATATTAAGCAATGATAAGGACAAAATATAGCGAAGATTGAGTATTATACTATTAAATATCTAGTCTACATCTAACAGATTTAAGATTACATACATTGCGGTTCTTCCGCGGGTATTAACTACAAGTGAGGAAGCATAATTATTGTTTTGATTAATGTATAATTTAACTAAGTTGTGCCATGACACCGCGTCGCACTATCAATAAACCAGCTGCAAGGTTCGAGAAATATTAATGATTTTTAATCGAGGTTATATAAACATTTGTTATTAAATCACGCAACACTATTTTTTGTAACCTAGAGAAATAGCAAACGAATATATTGATAACAAATTGTTGAGCATACAAAAGAGAACGAGAAAGCGATATCCGGCATCTTATTCTCTCTCACGCATGCGGTAGGGATTGATACGTATCGATATACATATTGGTTTACCATTTCTTTTAGGTGATGGCTGCATGTTCAGTAAATATTGTGACCTACATGTGTATAGCTTGATTATTATTGAATGTGTAAAGTATTCATGAATCTCAAAATAGACTCCATCTATAACATGATATATATGTAAATCTAATACTTACTTAACGTGTAACCTTTAACAACATGATCAATATGTTTAATTTTGTCAACCAATGCAGCGTCCATTAAATGCTGCCGATATTGTTAGTATTAAATCAAGTAATCATCTAATACTATTAACTCATCTTTCTTTTAGCAACATATATTGTGAAAATATACCTAAATAATTGTAGTGAATCACTTATTACATTTAGAATATCAATAAGTCACAACATTAAGTACCTATAATATCAAAAGTAATGTACTTGAACATAATATATGAGTATATGTCAGTAAACACAGCAAAATAATCACATGATATTTGACTTTAGCACATCACTGTGGTATCTTCTAAATCACCGGCAATATGGCGACATTTCATGTATATCGTTGTGGCAAGATGATTTGGCATTAAAACAAACTTCAGATTGGCAGTAGGTGGTAGTATCAAAAAGGCATACGGCGTAGTTGCACATTGTAATTTTAAAGCTTTATCTTCATCGATGATCAACTAAATGTTTGTATTTCGGAAGCTCAACGCGATGGCAGACACACTCCACCGTAGTAACACGCTATACCGCGATGGAGTATTAAAGCAATCTATAATTTCAATACAACAACCCATCGCGGACGCAACCGCAAAATCGCTGATGTTACAAGGTTCTTGTACACTCACACGTGTTCCTATAACAGGTCACATCTCTTGATGTAACGCGACATATACTTCTCGATAAAACACCGTTTCAAACTTTTGATTACGGTTGTTTCCGATTGTACACATTATGTAATATTATTTAAGAGTTTGAAGGTATATAATTTTGACGTCGTCCCGAGAACGGATTCTTCGAAATATCGGCCACTCTTAAATAATATTATCATGGTATATCTCCCGTTCACGTAATGTTTACCTCTCGGTTGTGATTTTCTAGTAAATTTCTTACGCTTACTGTTGCGCTGGCAACATATGTGACCAGGCCGCTTCGTACTTGGAGTTGGCTGTGCTGCACGCTGATTTAGTTGCATCCACCACACTCAGCGGGAATGGTTCGCTCTGTACGTAAAATATTAATTTTAGTTTAGTTAGTTACTTTAATTGTTAGTTACAAAATATACTTTTGAATTTAATTCGGGCTTCTTTATCAAGTGGTGTATATTTTTTAAGCAACTGGAACGATGTCCCTTATAACAAATAGTGCGACCGATAATTGTATAGCTAAACAGAAACATGGACATAACTGCATATACCTTAGGCACTGTCATTTAGGCGGCCGTGGTAGTCTAGTGGTTTAGCACACAGCGTCACTTCCGATGGTCGCGAATTCGATTCTTCGCACAATAAAAACATTTCTATTCATGAGTACCTATGATTGTTTGTATATGGATGTCAAGATGTTTTCTATGTGTATTATATATTGTCAATAAAATTATTATCTGCAAATTAATAAGTGAAGAAAATACTTTGAAGCAGTAGTTACCTAAAAAGTGCAGAATACTAATATTTTTAAGTTAATGCCAATATTAAAAAAGAAATACATTATATCAATAAAAAAAACATTACATACACTACAATATATTTGACATGCTTATGCATATATACTCCTTCGTATATTGTTAGTCTGTAGTCAAATTGAGAATAGACAGACAGATAACATTAAAGACAAACCACATACTAATGTGGTTTATAATTATATATTTTATATTAAATACTTTATTAAAAAATTGTGTTTAGTCATGTGTATCCTGTAGCTGTGGTCATAAGAGGAATCAATGTAACCACCACCACCACCCACCGTGAGATCACAAAAAGCGAGCTCGACGGCGGCGATGAACTTCTCTAGTTCCGCTCCGCTGGCTAACAAGAGAGCTAATCCGGCACCGCGCTCGCGCGCCTCACAAACGCTCCACTCCTGCGGAAAAAGAGAGGATCGTTATTACCCGATTTGGAACCCCGTGAAACCAATCGCCGCGGGTTCAAGTATTTATTTATTTATAAATTTCTATCAGTTTTTACACTAATAACACAAGCTCTGCTTAGCTTCTGGCTACATTGCACAGTGTGAATTATCCTGGGTAAACGTCATGGCATGTCACACTAATTTGTAAATAATTGTGAGGATGTTCATTTGTCACAACCTTTGGAATGAAATTTGGAGAGCTATCTCATCATATTCTAGTTGAACCAATCAGATAGTTTTTACCTGGATTCACTTGGGTACCCTCGAGGATACAGTTGGTACTTCTATAATTTTAGAACTCCTTTTAAATCATACGAAAATACTTACTAGACAGCACCAGTTTTCGTCAGTGTCCGGTATTTTGAATGCAGTAAGATTTTTAATGGAACCGCATGCTAATATTTCAACATCTGTTCTCATTTCTTCTATATACTCTGTAACAATAAAGATGATTATAAATTACTTATAATTATGACATACGATACTTATAAAATCGTTAAATCATTGTGTCTCTAGTGTTGCTCTTGTAAATAGTCGACGGTTACGGCATACCATCAGGGCCTGCTTGTTTAGAATTCTAATGACATAGATAAAGCTTGACTGACTATCAGCACATAGACATTGAAACATCGCTAAGTAATTATTTTTAAAATAATCATGTTCTTGGAAAATGTATGGTCTCGAGCAGGTAACTCTATCAGAATAGCTCGTAAATATACAAAAATCATTAATGAGCGGGGAAGATTTGCTTTTAACATTAGTAATTAGGTAATTGACCTCTGTTCTTACATACAAAATTACAGTTTTTACACCAAAATGGTTTAAAGTTAAAAAATAATCGAATTTATCCTTTCATTACCAACCTTTTAGTAACGCTTCTGACCCTCTCTCCTTAAGGTAACCAGCCGCTCCATCAACAAATGCCATATCAAGAGTGTCTCGAAGACTAATAACCTCATGCGGAGTCACTAGGACTGTACAGGCCGGTGGTGGACCTCCAACAAAAGAGTCCATCTTCTTAGCTCCATCCTTTTCTTCAAGTGCCTATAATTATGAATAAAAAATATTATCAATAATTTATCTTAACAATTGATTTGTAAATATTCATTAAATTATTAATATGTAGTTCAATGACCAATTATCATTATAGACCTCTGTTATCAGCTGAAGAACAACAATTATTCAAAAGAGTAACTTTCTTGCTCGTTCTACTAGTAATGAGACAGATTTCTGAATAAAGGGTAGATTACTTGTTTCTATTCTATTCTAATATACAAAGTAAACTTGAACCTAATAAAATACATATTATTATTTTGCGGACAGAATTCAATATATTTTATGCTTATACGCCAATACACTAAATGTATTATGTCATTATCTAGTATAACCTGATATCATGATTTTTGTGTTAAAAGATAGCCTATATCCATGATCATCATCATACAATATTATTCACGTCAAATTTGTGCAGGGTGCATCCAGCGGTTTCATTGTGAAATGTATCAAACTGACAGACACATTTTCGCATTTCTAATATTAAGTATGGATCATCAATATGTATTTATGTTGGTATAACTGTATACATTTTTTATAATTTATACTGTTGACGTATTGCAGAAAAAAAACAGGGCCATAACATCGCTCTACTAACAAATGAAGTAGCTAAAGTTTTACATACGTGTTTTTAAGTACATGAATACATTAAATACAATATTAGTGTAGTAAAGTCGCTCATAGATAAACAAAGTATGATACTTATTTCCTAAGCATGCACATACACCTACATATGTAGCAACGCAACAAAGAAAAAATTGGAAGCAAAATTATCATTGTGCTTCCAAGTTTTTCTTTGTCTAAGTTGAAAATGTTTGATGTATGAGTCCACAGCCTCGGTGGTCTAGCGGTTTGGCACACTGCCTTACTTCCAATGTTCGCTGATTTGATTCGCGCATGATACAAACATTACTATTCATGAGTATGTTAATTTTATTGGTCTCCGTGTTATTTACAATGTATGTTACAATGGAATATCTCAGGACAATTCACACAGTGCCAAGAGAAGCAGGGCATGTGTAATGGGTGTTATATATATATATATATTATACACATAGTTATATATATTTTGTAAATACATACATACCATTCATACGGTTCAAACACTTAGATAGATACAAACAATCATACTTATGAATAGAAATCTTCGTATCGTACGAGGAATTAAACCATTGGAGCAATAATAGTATAAGAATAAGGCAGTCTGCTAAACAGCTAAAACTGCAAAAAATATATATATAATGAAGTATCTATTAATTATTTAGTAACCACAGTCAAGTTTAGTTCTGGGTCTAGATGGCGCAGTGTTCATTGTCCTGGGTTTAATATAATTACCTGAGCGGCATGTAAAAGCAGTGACTGCAGCCATGACGAAGCAGTGGGGTCGTCAGGAGCGGCGAGCGTCAATCTCGTATTGTCCAGCGCTATCTCAAAACAATGTGGTCGACGAGAGGAGTCCAGATGACGACGTACTCCAATCACGGAGCGGAGTGCTATATTGTTGGGGAGCGGCGTGGTACCGTCGGAGCAATGTGGACCCCAGTGCAAAACGCCAGCTCTATAAAAGAAATATTAATGTAATTAAAGAAAAAAAATCTAAAAGGATTATGGGTACCCAGCTTTTGACCCAGGGATAGAATTTAGATTTTTTCTGGCTCTGATTTTATTTGCCAAAATCGTCTAGAACGATGATAAAATTAACATAGGACAATTATATTTACAAAGCTAAGAACAAATGGGACCTCTGATCCTAAAAACGTCGCTAAAGTCGGTCCATAATTAGTTAAGACAATATATTTATTTCCAAAAACTAGTAACAAATGTGATAAATTCTGTATAGAGCAAACTCCAGACTACATTCTATATATTACAATGTAGGTCAATTCATTCAGTTATGGTGAAACAGTACTACTACTACTATAATACATAACTCCCGATTTATGTCATTAAGTTGTGAATATGGAACAAATTGACTTACATCATAACAATATACTGATAATGACTCATAATACTACTACGTAGTAATTATATTTTAATTCTAAAATGTAGATTGTAGTATCGTTGTCTAACTTTCGCGGTTTCGCATAATTATAAAAAACTATAATAACATTAGGGTTTCTACAGACATACAGCACAGTAACGTTGACACTGCTCATGGCAGTATTTCAAATTGCAACAGCACTCAACACAGTCGTCGAGGGCTAACGGAACATAAGCGGATACCATCGGCGGATAATACGTATTTTTCCAAATGGTTGCCAGTGTGTAACAGCCTTAAGTTTTTAAATCTTATACTGAATTGAATTATTCATATTATACATATATATGTTGCTTTCATTTTTTATTCGTGTTCTTGTTTTGGGATATAAGTACGTATAGTAGAATATGTGATACAATATCAGAGAAGTAAAAATACCTGAAAATAATTTGCCGAGGCTTATTTACTGAATCATTAATCTGTTGATATCAATCCACTTGTTTTTTAGTATACCTACATATTTAATTTCCTAATTTTTAAGACTGATGTAAAAATATACCTTAATAAAAAGTAGCAAGGTTCAAATCTCCGGCTCTTATCTGTTCTACACATGAGATATCCCTCGAGAGGAGGTGCGAAAGCACCCGGTGCTTCGATTAGTCTATCGCCAGCGTCGCCTGAGCAAGCGCGCCCATAAAATAATATTCGAGGCATCTGAAAAATATTTATTATTAGGTAACGGGATTGGCAACGGTCTACCTAATGGTAATTGTCATTTATGCTGGCGGGGCAGCAGTGGAGGATGATAAAATGAGCATGAACTCAGGTCAGTTAGCCCATCTTGACAAATGGCAATTTACTACGAATATTTTCAGGAGGAACCGCGGAGGTCAACCTGATATGATACATTGTCAGCAATAGGGTTCTTAGTCCATATTACTAACAATTCCCTTTCCCTCGATTGACAATATTTTGGTCATATACATAAACGCCACAATGGGCAATTATTTCTTAATGTGGCTTCCGTAGTACCTCTCAAGCGTTGCTATAGGCGTCACAAACGTGTAGCGACATGCCGTTTCCCCCATATCTCTTTATAAAACCGAATTATTATACTTACTAAGCAAACTGTTTGATGATATTACAGGTGAGAAAAAGATAATTAAAATGGTATAAATTAAATGGTACCCATATTAAATAATACCAATATAGATTTTGTACAATGTAATATTGTACAAAATCTATATTGGTATTATTTAATATAACTAAAACCCTATTCATTACATATAAGTTTTTTTCTCGTTAATTATACAAAGCCATCGCTACTTATTGTCAAATTAGTTCTGTAGCGTGAATATTATAAGCAAGAATAAATGTTTGTCCTACAATAAAATTATATACACAATAAGTCTAATTGTAGAATAACAGAAATTCTTAGAAGAAAGTTTTTATGAATATTATTATATTAGTAATTAACATTCTACGTCTTACAAATGAAAGTAAAAACAAATTAGGGTCAAGAAGGCGAGAGTGTTAGCGCATTAATTTGTCTACTGACTACTGTCTATGTATGAAACGTATGACAGAAAAAAGATCACGTTAGTAACTCATTGTCACATTTGTTTGTTACTATAATAATGTAAAGTTATAAAGAAATGAAATTGTTATTGATATATATAATTATACTTAGGAATACATAATATAAATGTTAAATAAAAATAACTTATCTGTATAAAATATCTGTTTGAAAATGTCAACAAACTTTTCAGTATAATTAACATTGAGATTGTTATTATCTTATAGCAATAATAAACAAATACATAATATATTTATATGTACTTTATTTTTTAGAAATTAATCTGAACTGATCTTTTTTCCTATGGAGATATATTGTGCACTGGGAAAGTCTATGTATTTCTATAATCAACCTGTTGAATTAATAGGAATGACCTTCATCAGGATTTAACTCCAGATATAGAGCACATCAGATGTTAATTGTGTAATTACAAAAACATATCTATGAAATATGTTTTACTGATTGTTAGTTCATGATTGTCAATATATTCTAACATAGCTCACTAATAACTCATTTTACAAACATATTGAAAATAAAATAGATATACATACTACTTTAGATAGGAACTTTTCTTTAGTTTGAATACAACTACTTTATACTTACGCGTTTTTCATGTCGTTGTCTTGTAACAGAGGCTGTTAGTTGACGGTAGGTCAGTGGCAACATGGCGGGCGGTCGGGAAATACGAAGTGGAGATGTACGCGCGCTCCACTCTAATGAGGAAGCAAGCCTAGCGCCGAGAAAAGACTCGCCAGTTACAACTGAACATGCTATGTTACCAGCTATATCTATAACTTGAATGTATTGAGCTTCTGGACCCACCTGGAAAAAATAGTTTCTGTCAGAACAATTTACACATCGCCACCTTTTCCCAAGCTAAATAGAGCTTGTGTTATGGTTACTAGACAACTGATAACACTCAGATCAATACAAACAATCATACATATGTATATAAATATTTGTACCATGCCAGGAATCGAACCTACAACAATCAGGTGGGGTGCTAAACCACTAGACCTAAAAGGCCATTAGATATGAAGAACACAATTTAAAAAAAATCATATACTGTCAGCAAAATATATAGAAAATTTAACTCACAGCAATAGCATCCAGTTCATTATGTGGTAGTCTGCATAGCATTTCATACTCAGTGCCTCCATTTTTTACACTGGCAACATACAGTGCATAGTCAGTAATGAAAACAAGTAAGGGTACCCATGAACCATCCTCCATATTATATGGAGACTGTACTTTCATCATCTGAAAAAGAATAAGTATTAGACCAGTGAATTATCTACTTGTCTTTTTTTTAATCTGTAGTATTTTTGTAGAAAAAAATAATTTTACCCTGTTCAAAGTTTCCATAGGATACGAAAATATCTGTAATCTGAGTTTCTCATTGCACTCAATTGCTACATTATCCTCAAAGCTATCAAAATATGATGGCTCATCTGCAGTCAGAAGCCTCACTGATAACCTTTTGTTTTCAATAACCTCTTTGTCTATTAAACGTGACATTCTCTCAGCAGATAAGTGGAATGTATCAGACACATTTTTAAAAGGAAATATGATACTAGGAAACTCTCTCTCCATTCGAAGTTTGAATTGAAAGAACTTATTATTTCTTATTTTCAGTTCAAGATCTTTTCTTTGACATACATTCTTAAGATATCTGTTTAATAAAGCAGATTTGTTTGTTTGTAGCTTTTGGTTAGCTGGACTATCAAAGAAATCATCATTAAAATCATCAGCTCCTTTTAGTGTTGAGTTATCAGTGTTTGAACAGTTGTCACTATTAACTGGTGGAGATTCATCATTAACTTTTTGTAATGTGGATGCAGACTTTCGACTATATCTGTTAACATTCTGCTTTTTAGGTGAAGATAAGTGCTTTGAAATGCCATTTTTCTGTTCTGTCTCATCTTGGACATTTTTGTTGAATTGTCGCTTCGGAGTCGATGATTTGCTTGATGTCTCAACATCTATAAGTTTTTGGCTAAGGTCTGATTTACTGGTACTTGTGACTAATTCTTTAACTGGTGTAGATTCTGGTATGGGTACAAAGGTTTCTTTGGGGGCATCAAATGCTGTTTGGAAAGTGTCATGCACATAACTGTAGGATACCCCTTTGTGTTCATAAACAGTGCTCTCACAATTAACAACATACTTATTCAATGCTGGGAATGCATCATCTTTGTTTATGGACTTTTTATCTAGTTGATTTTTCATATTTAGTGTTAGTTTGTGACGGGGAGATCCTTCATTTGGAGTTTTATCACCTGCTACCGAATTCTTGGATGCAGCTGCCACTTCTTTAGGTTTATCGGTTAAAACTGCCTGTCCATTCAGATTTATTTCTACAAAGTCATCTTCATCATCAAATTGAAATCCAGAATCTAAACTTTTTAGAAGCTTTTTGTTCTGATTAACATCACTTGGTAATGCCTCAACAACATTGTTAAGTTCCAGACTAGTTTCAGCCAAACCTTTCTCTGGGGTAAACTTGAAGTCAAAATTTTTGTAAAAATTCTTTAATGAGTCTATTAAGTTATTTGCATCTAACAACTTCAAAACTTTATTGTTTTTCTTCCTTTCTTCTACAACATTTGTCGTAATGTAGCGTTTCTTTTTTAACACAGATTTAACAGTATTAGGGCTTTGAGATACCTCAAGAGGTATTTGCATGCGATCATGTGTCTGATCAATATCAGCCTCAGAAAAATATGTTTTTCTCATAAAAGCTACATGACCATTATTCTCAAAGCCATCACAAGAATATGATTTTTGAGCTTTATCACATTTCCTGTGTAATGGGGATGTCTCAGTTTTGTTTGAATTTGAATGAGAAGAAGAAGAGTCACTTGACGATGTTTCAGAATCACAGCTAAAATTTGAATCTGAACTGTTTGAGTCACATCCATATAATTTAGCATTTGATCTTGTATCATTATTGTTGTCTTTATCCATATTATCCTGGTTATCTTGATCATAATCCTGACAGTATTCAAATATACCACTCCTATCATTTTTAGAATTTCCATAAGTAAGAATGTCTGACATTGTTTGTTGAGCAACATCTGCAGCATACTTTGGTGTTTGATCTCCAGATGCACACCATGAAAATCTATCTGTCATAGCATAGTTTTTTTGCTTAAATCTATCACAGTATGCACTATCAGGTCCATATGAAACAAAGCCCCGTTCTATATGAATATTATCTGTTTTTGTATTATTCAGTATATCTTCATGGAATGAGACTCTTTTTTTCTGAGAGCTTGGTCCACTTTGGGACTTTTTTCTACATCGGCGTCTATAGACAATATCCTCAGACAAAGACTTTTTAGGTTCACTGGTCCTTAATGCAGGCTTCCTTATTTCCTCAGTGCTGACTTTCTCCCTTTCTAAAGCTTTCAACACAACATCAGGCAAATTTTCATATGCATTTGATTTTATATGTGTTTCTACAAGTAGTTCAGGGACTATGTCATCGGTAATTCCAATGTTTTGGTTGTCTATGTCACTACGCGTCATGACACTACTAGAAGTGCTTTTTATCATATCTTGTGAACATGATGGTAGTGCATCATACTGACTATCACATGCTAGTTCTTCAGCGCCAATTAGACTGTGCGACATAAGAGCCTGGCTTGTTCCCTCCGATGCTTCACTATCTAAACATAAAACGCCACTATCTCCCGGAGTGTCGGCCAAACTGCTGGTTGTGCTAGATATTAAATGAGTGTTGGCCTGCAAGCATAATTCTGTAGGTTTTCCCGAACTATCGTTATCCATCTTCGTGTATTGCACTGTATCTTCACCGCCGTTTATTGTCGCTGTTGCAACAACAGTGTCGTCAGTTTTATGACGACGTTTGATTTTATCGATCTCATTGCTTTTTAGTTCTGTAGCCTTGTCTAAAGACATGGCGTTTTCTTTGATTTTAACACAATACAATTACTTTATTACTACTAATATCAATATTTCGCATTAACTAAATATTATGTCCATTTCGACTTATATTTGTAATAATTTTAATAATCACATAAAATACGACACTATAAGAAGACGACATAGCAGCCATGTTGACTTGTTTTAGTGACTGTCAGTCAAATGATTTTGACATTCATACTGGCTATGATGTCATTTTATCAGAAAGTCTGTAGTGTCGGTGTCAATGTCAAAAGACTGACATCAAAATTTCTACATTGGTCCCATTGGTTTTTCATTTCAGTTCGACCGGCCGGTTTAAAAATAATAATTATTCTCAATTTCTCAAGTTTAACCTCCATTCATCGTTTATTTTGAGGTTATTTCGTTTATACTGTGCAACTTTATTGATTTATAATATATGTTTACGAAATATCTATGTTTAAACATGAAATTATTACAAAAGACTATACTGTTTGCTATCACATTCAGTTTGTGTAAAAGTGCTAAAATTAACACACCAAGAGTGCTCTTACCATGGTTTGAGAATAAGAATGTGAATTTTATGTTTGAAATTATTGAAGGCGGATGTTACACTTGGTAAATTGATTTATTACAAGTATTTAGTTTTATATATAACTCAGTGTTCGAAGTAACAAGTGCTTGTTTGCAGGAGTTTGTCTCGCGATGACATCATAGATCTTGAACCTATCTACGAGGACACTTGGGGAGGTCATTGTTCGCGTGCGGCTCGTGTATCTGTCTCCAAAACATGTGTACCACCAGGTTCTGTAATCATCTTGGCTGAAGAAGTGAATAGTGGCGAGGTATTGATATAAAAAAAATGGCGGGAATATTTTTAATGTGATTTGTAGCTAAAATTAATATATTAAGAAGATTTCAGTCCCTATTTGAAAGGGATTATTGAGTTAAAATTAAGCTGTATATTATGTATTTTCTATATTACACAATAAGCAAGATGAATAGTTAGTTTTCGGTTTTATTAATATATATATATATATTTTGGAATTGATTCTGCTGCAATTCTCAATAAAATATATTACTATACATATATGTAATGATAAATTGATCACAACAGAAGAGAAACAAATAAAACAAATATAAAAAAAGTTAGATACTGGTAAATTAGTTACAAGTCAAGATTATAGAATTAAGTTATAAAAGTTATCAGATTAAAATGAATTCTTATTCCTTTTATATATATTATTATTATTATTTATACCTGTAGTGGGATAGCATTCCTGAATTATATATCTATGTCTAGATACTTCGTGGAGATGTAAATATTGACAAAATAAAATCACTGAAAGTGATGAGTACAACATGGAAACTTTATCTGGAAGAAGCACCGGAGGCATTTGAAGTTTTTGCATATGATGATCAAGGTAATTACTTACTATATTACAATTTTAAAACTGCAAATATTACAAAATAATCACAACATACATACTTCAGTATATATTATATGAAATTTTTTACAATGCTGCAGCTAATTATAAAATATTTTATTATTTACATATGATTTATATAATGTGATATGTTTTTAACTGAATAAATTGCTCTTAATTCACTACTTTCCCTATCTAAATACTGAAAATATATATATATGGTGTATATTAAAATTGTTTTCATAGGTAATAAGTTTTCAACTTTGGAAGGAGTGAATTTCAAATGGACCATAGAGAATTTTGACAACAGTGTTGGTGATGACCCTTTAGTGACGTAAGTTAATAAAATATTTCTAGTAAAATTTCTATCATGTATAGTTACTGAAATATGGGACTATAATGAAAACAACAGGAAGAGATGAATACATGTTTTTTATATATATATATAAAGAATAATATTATTAAAAACTAACTACTCACCCCAATTCAAAATACAATATATTATATAATAGACTGGGTACTTGCCCCGGCCTCACATGGGTGTACATGTAATACCTCCCTCTTGAATGACTATATATCTATTGCTAAAAGCTGCATTACAATCTGTTGCATAACTTAAATAATCTAAGGGAACAAACACTGACTACAACTTTGTTTTAGATTATATAAAGATGTATATATGCTTCCTATATTATTTAAGTATCATTCATTTCATTAAACTTATGCATAATTTTAATGAGTTATTGGTAATAAATATATAGGATATCTTTTTATATCAACACGATGATATGCTACTACATTGAACTTGCTTAACATATTTATAATTTCTGAAACCTAGTAATCTTCCATATAATATCTCTTTGTACAGATTAGTACGATGGCGTGACACAGATTACGAGGCACCTCCTGGAATAACAGATATAGAAGCACAAGGACTAAGATCTTATTCTGTTTTGTTGTATGGTCAAGCAATGGGAGATTGCCGAGTTACTGTGTGTCTCGGGGACATTTGTACAGATTTTAACTTGCAAGTGGTAGCCAGTGTTGTGCTAACTCCGGCAACAGCAGTTATAGCACCTACAGATACTCTTAAGTATAGGTGAGTTAGAATGTGTATTAATTTGTCTTATTTAAATTATTAACCTGGTCCTAACAAGTATAATTTTGTGGCAAATAAAGGTTTTTACCTCACTCCAAACTACCTTACCTAGTCGAAACGTCGACCCGGTTACTTATTTAAATAATGTATATGAAAGTTTAAAAATAACTATTGTCTTATTTATTTTACAACTCTGTCTTGTTAGAAGTTTGAGAGAGATATTTAATGTAATATGTTTTTTTAAGAATATATGGACATACATGTTACATTCACGTACTATACTTTAAGAACAATATTTATTACATATTATCGATTTCTGAAATTTAGGAGAACTATATTTTTGACACTTTAATTGTGCGTTCTATAAATTGAAATCTACAACTAAAACTCTATCATATATATATTCTCCACTAAGTCTATTTTGGAATTAAAATTTGGTTATATGTTTAACTGAAATGGCAAATAAGCTACCAGTCCCTCTGACCAGTATGGACCAGTCTTCATTTTATGTCTCTCACAGAAAATTAACATTTTAATGATCAGTCTAAAACTATTCCAAATATTTAGAAAAAGTATACTTGAGCATTTAGTTAGAAATTCTAAAAAACTATTAGTTTTAGATGTATGATATATTAAAGAACGTTTTAACTTTGTATAAATATTGATGATGATGTTGAATGTAAACCACTTGAAAAAGGATTTTTTTTGACAATTCACACAGCGCCGTCTAGACCCAAGTTAAGCTAGCTAAAGCTTGTGTTATGGGTAGTAGACAACTGATACAAATAAATAGAAATTTTTTTTCGTAAATACATACCTATTATACATAGCAAATACCCAGACCGATACTAACAATCATACTCATGAATACAAATGTTTGTGCCGTGCGAGGATTCGAACCCGCGACCATCAGACGTAAAGCGGTATGCTAGACCGCTAGACCACCGAGGTCGTCTATACATAATTATATGTATAGCCTATTTAATTTAAGAATTATACATAGCTATTTTGTTTTATAGGGTAGTTCGAGCTCGTGCTGGTCGTTTAACAGTACAAGACATAGCTGATACACTGTATTATATTAAAGTACCAAATACAGGAATAGCAGTTTTGGATGATACTGTCAGTCTGGTCAGAGCTACAGAAATTGGATCAACATCTATTCTTCTCATGTCTGGTACTACAGAGGTTGCATCTGCAACATTGACTGTGGCAGAACCTCACAGCATTAGAGTTAACCTTCGACCTTCAAGCTTGCTTATACGTGGAGAACCTTTCACAGTACATTGTATATTATTGGATATCAATGGACATCCTCTGACTGCTGGACAAGAGATATTGATACGCCTCTCTGTAGTGGGCGAAGCAAATGTTGATTTACTTAAATCTACTGAAAATGGAACGTTGACTGACGCTGTGGCGGGGAACTCTGGACCTTTGACAATTACAGCCCGACTTCATTCGGTTGCTGGCAAGAGTTTGATAAGAAAGGTACTTCATATAAATTTTTTTTCATTCATATTTTATTTTACATCAGACGAGGCATTACGTTTTATTACATTTCAGGTAGATAATTAAATTATCGTGGGAATGATTATAGGATAATCAATAGATTATAATTTCCTAAAAATAATGTATAGTCACAAGATAATGTTAAGTGTATGTGTTTTTGTATTATTTATGTTTCGCGATTAGATGATGTTAATTTTTTTATGGATGATAGTGGAATGTCCCTACCTACGTTAACGGTTTACGCTGGCGGGGCACCAGTGGAGGATGAAAAGATGAACATGGGGTCAGATCAGTAACCCCACCATGACAAATTCACCAGGAATTTATTCAGGGAGGACTGTGCAGAGGTCAACTTGACATTGCTAGTAATAGGGTACTTTACAATACTAACAATCACTTTCCCCCTGGGTTTAAATGTTATATTTACAGGTGGAGGGTCATGTGTCAGCAGTAGCAGTGGACCCATTAGAAATAATACCACCAGAAATCTACGTAGCCTGGACTGACACAATTCAGTAAGTATCATAGTACCCTTTTAGTAGATTTTAGTAGTTGATAATTTAATAGTGCACCTGCCTCGGCTGAAGGTATATGCTGGCTGTGAACCAGTGGATAATAGATAAGCATGACATCAGGCCAGGTAGCATGACATGGAGAACTCGCCGGGAATTAACCAGTCATTAATTAGCCAGGAAGGACTGCTTTGAAAGTAAACTTTATTATAGGGCAACTGGACTTCATAAATAGTAATCCCTCTTTTTAGTTTTTGTGAACCTACATGTATAAAAATATTACGTACTATTGATTTCGTATACATTGCATTCGAACCCGTGATTTCGAATGCAATGTATACGAAATAACAATAGGTTAAATTTCAGTAGTACTCTGCGATCCTTATTTCTAGTGCCAAGATAAAGTTATACCAGTTATACATAAGGTTTAATTTCGGTACAAATTTTAAAACGAGTATTCTCGTATTGTCACAAAATTTTCTAAGATAATAAGGGCCAAAATACTCTAGAATTGTATACTGTATTATTTGTTTGTACAGAGAGATACAATTGGAACATCGCGGTGGTGGTGAAGAGCCAGTTGTGTGGTCTGAGAGCGAGATATCACAAGGCGCTGCCATCTCTGTATCCAGTACTGGCCTGGTGACGATCCGTAGTGAAGGAGATATCGAAGTTATAGTACAATTGAAGAACTATCCTCATATTCGTGCTGTTGGAAGGTAGGAACATACTTTATTGTCAATATTATCTATGTATTAATATGTAAAATAAAAACTTTATACCACTATTCATGAAATAGGAGTATGAAATTTCACACATTCATAGTTTACATAGAAAAGACTGTTAAAGTCTGTGGTAAAATTGAGAATATGTTAATATTGTTTGTCTTTATAATTGTATGACTAACTAATAAAGAACAACAATATTATTAGTATGACTATACCTAATGTTAAATTAATTATGGTCAAATTTCGACCACTGTGTAACCACTAATATAAACTAACATAATTATATAAAACTTCTTTCCAACTTCACACCAATATTCAACTTATTGATATATGAAACTTTATAAGAATTCCATTTAAAACGATCATTTATTATTGGAATAAGATTTAATATTAGACATGATTTCACTTACTATTTTCATTATGTCATACCATATGAATAGATTTTGTTTGTGTTGTCTTAAAAAAATTTATAGCACGTCATTGGGGGTAGCTTGTATATTCTAGTTTAGCTTTCATTTATATGGTCACACATTCAAAGACGATCTACTGCGTGGAGGAATACCTGACTAGTAGTCTCATTGCTAAAAATGCCGAAGAGAGTGCAGTGTTGGCGCTTGTCTGTAAGTGTTTTGTTTGTGGTAGGGTGGTGTCGTCGCCTGCGGAGCTGGTGCAGGTGTCGAGCTCGGGCCAGGCTCGCGTGGGCCGCCCCCACCATCTGCACGTCGCACTCACCGCCACGCATCCCCACACCGGACAACTCTATAACTTCCACAGGTACTAACTTTTTGTTTCTATGTAACTATAGTGGAATCCGTTTCTGATGACAAATACTTCATAATAAGCATTGAAATAAATAACCAAAAACACATCGTGTAGTTCTTCCCGAGTTGTTCTCAAATGAATCTGTAATACTGAACTAGATGGCAGGGAAAAAATATTAAAAAAAAGAACTTGACGTTCATAAGCATTTAAAACTTCCTACATAAATTTATTTATATTCATTTTAGATTTAATTCTTTTTTTAAAAATACAAATCCCAAATCCTTAATACTTAATAATTCTCCATTTTCTAATCTGCATATTTGGAGAAACCTGTAATTCCTTTAATTTCTTCAATCATAAATGCTTTACGACCATTTTTAAAAAATGGGCAGTAATAAGATAAGGCATTATATCAGACTTATTTATAATGAATTTCATATGTAAACAAAACTTTGTGAAGTAATTACTCCATAATGAGCGATAGGTATAATATAGGCGGAGTCATAATAAATGGATTCTACTGTAAATGTCAAATAACAATCTGGTTACTACATTTTAGATTTTTCAGGGTAGTTTAGCAGTTTCAGGTGGCTTATCCACCATCAGCAAGGATATTATATTGAAACATCTGTGAAATTGTCATCTTACATATTTCCGAAGACTAAGATATTACGTGTCATTTTTGGAGGTTAACAGTATGGTACTCCTGCCTGCGCAGGAGGATATACTGGCGGGACAGCAATGGAAGATGATTGGATGAGCCTGAAGGCAGGTCAGTTAGACCATTATGATGAATGCATCATTTACCACAATTGTTTTCATGGGAACCGAGAAGACATATGTTGTAATTATACTCACCCTTAAAATTAGAATATAGGTATATATTGCTAAAGTATGATATAAGTAAATTTAAGTCAGGTTTTTGTGTGTCTGTTTTTATAGCTTGTTGTAAATATACTATACTGCTTATTTACTGATAATTGTAATGTTTCCAGATGTAACTGTGAAGCATTTGCCGTGTCTTTACTTGAGGGTCCAGAGCCTCACAATGTCACTGCAGCGACATGGGTACAACCTGTCGGTTAGTATCATTTTTCTTATAAAAATACAAATGTTAATGTACTAAAGATATCCGCTATCTTATCGTTTGCTTTGTTAGTGGTATCTGATAAAATATTTGAAATAACTCAAGTAAAAATACCTGTTTTATAAAATTAGTAAATTTATATACCTACATAAATAACATGATAGGAAAATTATCTTTAAATAAACTCAATTGCTATAAGTAAACGAAAAATAATTTAGCTTTACACTTTTCATTTATGTTTTTCTATTGTGAGAATATGCAGTGCCACTTCTTTTTTTATATTAATGTTGACTACGTTTTTAAACTGTACGACTAATATTACACTATTATGTTGATCTTTTCCTCCTCTTAACTATAAAACACATCATTTGAATTTAAATTAGGATAATTCACACACCGGCATCTAGTCCAAGCTAAGCAGAGCTATCAGGCTATGCAGCTGATAGTAATACACAGATACATATTTTTTTGCAAATACTAATATGTATAGAAAACATCCAGGCTAATACAATATATTTATAAACACACAATTATAATATACAATTATATTTATAAACACAAATGTTTGTTCTGTGCGAGAAATGGAACTTGCTACCTTCGGAAGCAAGGCGGTGTTCTAAAATGGTACACCGCCGAGGCCGTCAAAATCATGTTGCGAACCGTGTTTTGGACAATCGACGGCTCGCCGATTAACGGTCAGACGAAACAACAACAACGGAAGACTTGTGAAGGTAGACAAATATGTGCCCAGCTTGCAGTGTGCAGCAAATATGCTTCAGTATACCCGTGGCGTTCGAAACGCTGCCGAAATATCGGGAACTCAATTATTTTTAACCGGATTTTAGTTACCTTTCTAATTGTAGGTACCTATAAAGTTTGTAAAATTGAAAACAAATGACGAATGTGTGTACGTGTGTAGAGGGGGCGTGCTGCGTGGTGGAGTGCGCGTGGGCGAGCCGCGGCGTGTCGTGCGTGCGCGTGTCGCGCGGCCGCGCGGGCGAGGCGGCGCGCGTGCACGTGCGCGCCGCGCCGCGCCTGCGCTGGCCGCCGCGCGCGCTCGCCGCCCTGCCCGCCGCCACGCTGCCCGTTAGTATACCTATCTATACTAAATTGGAGTGTCCCTTTGTAATATTCAAGTGACCGTTTTTTACTACATGCATATGAATATATATGCGGTACATACACCAAAATAACATTTTTTACAATTTTTTCTGTCTGTTTGTTTGTTCCGGGTATACTTTGAAATTGAGACCGATTTTAATGGGACTTTTTTTGCCATCTACCAAAAAAGTCCCATCAAAATCGTAATAAGATCTTAGGCTACTTTTATTTTAGAAAAATAAAGTTAAATTCCATGCAGACGCAGTCGCGGGGTAAGCTGGTCTATCATAAAAATTACGTTGTTTTTCCGTGATAGAATCTTAAACGACTGGACCGTACTGATTTTTGACAAATATTTATCCTAGAAGGATGAATATTTAGGGTCAAAAACCATCAACTCTATTTTTTATTAGCGATAGTAATAAAAAAATTACACAGTATAAAATGAAATTAGCTTCCGCCATCTGTTCCTTAGATCTTTTAAATTACGCAACGGATTTTAATGCCGTTTTCAGCAATAGACTGATTCAAGAACGGGAACGTTTATGTGTATAATACATATATGCGAAACCGGAATGGTATAGCTAGTCTATTATAAAATACAAAAAGCTGACGGCTGACAACCTGATGGTAACCATCGCCTATATACTTGAAAACACCACGGAGAAACATGATTTCGCAGTTTTTATTTTATGTAGTATTTCATCACTTTTTTTTTTTTGCTCTTAATGTTACGACGTATGTCCAAAAACATGAAAGTTTTTATGTTTATTACAGATATTGGCAGAAGGCGAATCGCTAGTGCCGCAGTCGAGTGAGACGCGCGTGGCGGAGTTAACGGAACGTACAGGGTCGCCACCACATCGTTACCCCGACGTCCAGCTATTCACTTTCAAGTGTCGATGGGTAAGACGTTTTAAATTTAATTTTCACATTACTATTATATATATATATTAATAGAACTTTAATAATGTTCAAAAATGTTAAATTAATTATCGTCAAATGTCAACTACTGCGCGACCACTAGTATATTTAAAGGTACATGAAGTGGGAGATGAAGGAGGTTGAATGAAGTAAATGCTCATTCATTCATTTTCAACCTTCTTCATGTACCATATTCGCTCATGTAGTGTCTTTTTAACAGAATCATTATTAGCAACCCACTGCACTCCCAAGGCTAGTGGTATACTAGGCACGATCTTCAGTTCTTTTATTCCAAACCCGTAACCCGTAACCCAAAACTAAAATAGTTCGTAACTACAAAAAGTGAAAAATTAAGGTATAGCATATAAATATAATATTATTATATAAATTAATATTATTTTTTTGTTTTTTTTACCTGTGTCATTGTTTGTACAAAGTCGTCTTATCGAAATTAGTTATTAAAAAAATTACAGAACAAAAAATAATATTAAACTATCTATTATTAAGTATATTCTATCTATCTATCTATTCGGGAGATGTTTATTTTTCTATTTACTTGTCTATTTTATATGCTTTGAATTGTTTGTCATTGCTATAGAGAGGTGATTCGCGCATGTCGTTGGTCTCGCAAGCAGAGGAAGAACGCGAGGCGGCGGAGTTCGAGGCAGCTTGTGCACCACACGTATCCAAGCTGCGTCTGGAGCCGCCTGATTTGGCCGGGAACTGCTCCGGTGGCGCTAGGTTGGTACTCACTGAGCCTATAGGTTGTATTTATGTTTTTATTACAACAATATAAATAATTATTACATAGTTATTATACCCCTGGACAAGATCAGAACAGAGCTTGTATAATACTAGACAGATGATATAAATACTTAGATATTTATTATATAAATGCATACATAAAATGCATAGAAAACACCCAGGCAGATAGATACATGATTGTATCTATCTGTCTGGTCTATACTCATGATTACAAATGTTGAGGTATCGTAAACCGCTGGACCACTGAGGACTTCAAATAATTACATTAATATTATTATTATAAAGAAGTTATACAACATTCACTGCTATGAAATTATTTACAAATGGCATATAGAGGTGCTTTTATGTAACTGGAACGGTAAATAATTAGTCTAACTACAGTGCCCCTCACGAGATATTGTTTTTGTAAAGCTAGCAACAAATGACTGCGCAATGAATCAAAAACTACAAACGGCGCAGGGGAGCCGGCTAGACGCGATCGAGTCATTGCTCTCGTTTTCGTCTATGCGTACATCTCGCTCATTCTATTAAAATCACGTCAGAAGTTATTTAGTGGTTCATCAGTGTCTTTTTTTTGTAGATTAATGTTTCTTCTTGAATTTTTATAATATTAAGATAGTTCATATGTTATTATTTTCGTGTTAGGTTATTAAGTAGGTAGTTTAGGTTAGTTATATTTAATAATGCTATTAGTGTTAGTTTAGTATTGTATATCTATAATATAATAAAAAAATATTTCTTTAATTTTTTACAATATTTTCACAGTATACATATAATTCAATAAATTAAAAATCAATGGCATTTTTGTTCGCGTCTGTATGAATGCACATACTCATTCCGCAGCTAACTTCACAAACATAAAGATCCGTGGCGAGCACTGTATATCATATTAGTAAAGACGATTAAGTGGTGCCATGCATACATAATAGGCTTCAAAATATTTTTTGTTATGTGTAAGATTATAATTACCGCTTCCGGACGTGTGGACGGTTGGTTTTTGTGCCGTTCTTACCATACTATATTTTTTTAGACTGTGGCTGAGACCAGGCCAGGAAGTGAGAGTTGGCGTGACGTTACTGGACGCCATAGGACGTGAACTGCTGGACGAAGTTGGACCCCTCGTAGAGTGGGAGAATGAACCACGACATGTCGGCTTGCAGTACGGCGGGGATCGTTTGCTTGTTGAGACGCTTCCAGAGTACGCACCTGTACCCGTGCCCAATAAATATTATCAGGTAAGTGGCAAACTCAATTTTGCAGAGGGGCAAATATTAAATTTAGAATATGTAGGCGGGCCAGATTAAAATAAAATAAATCCACTGAATTATTATAACATTCTATTTATTTATTTATATAGTACATAATATACGGCTGCTAAAAATTGTCGTGTGATCGCGAGTCGTATTGATACAGCACGGGGGCCGGATGCTGGTCGCGAGCTATGTCTTTGTATGACTGATTTAATTCTATAATTATTTCATATACTGACAATATTAGAGAATCGCGTTTTGAAATTGATCCCAATAACGTCGTCATAAGAGGGAATATGCAAAAAGAATAAGAAGTATTTGGTAGAAATGTAAAAAATTTATTATATTTTTGTTTTAGATAGTGGTAGCCGACGACCAAGCTATCGGTTGGACTGGCTTGTTGAAGGCGTCTATACCTGAAGCAACTGCAACTTTACAAGCGCGCGTTGTATCACCGTTAAATTGTGATTCATTAAAGGTACCAATGTATAAGAATTATTATAAATATTACATTTTGGACATAATTTTCAATCCAGACCGATAAAAATTATACACATGAATACAAATGCTTGTATCCTACGAGGAATAGCATTCGCGATCATCGGAAGTAAAGCTGAGGACGTCATATCATATCATGCTTATTAAATGTTGAAGGTGGAACAAGTTTTGGGGGCTAATGGGCTACTTTTTATTCTAATGATGCCAATGCTAGACTACTTTGTACGCATGTGTCGTGTCACAGTCAGAGCTAGCTATATTATAATATACCTTAGTGGGACCCAAAACTTTTCAATAATTCCACAAGTAGTTCAAGCCCAAACATATTTACATTGTATAAAATTAAATCGCTTCCGCTGTCTGCTCGCTTAGACCTTTGTCTTAACTACGCAACGGATTTTAATGCAGTTTTTAGCAATAGATAAAGTAATTCAAGAGGAAGCTTTATATGTATATTACATGTGCACCCATGCGAACCGGGGCGGGTAGTAGTAAGGTATAAATTTGGTAATAGTAATTTATATTTATGTTTAGGCTGATATGGCTTGGGAAGGAGATACTGTGAGTGGTATCACCAACGTATCGGGTGGTAGCGGACGGTATTACGTGGAAACACCCAAAGGCGTGTCGGCCGTCGTGGAGGGTGGTCGTGTCAGTGCAATCGTGCCCGGGCCGGGGTCATACGACCTCGTAGTTATGGACATGTGCATTTCTGGAGAAAAGCAAGTCATTGAGGTAAGTGAGAAATAATCATAAATATGCTGAACTTAAAAATATTTAAATGATTGATCAGTTTTGCCCTTTTAGAAAGACCTACCTTATAAATAGTCTTTTACATCATACATTTTAAATTAGTATTTTAGAAGTTATCACAAATTAAAAATTATGCACAAGAAACTAAATTAAAGCAACCTCTCTCACCGACCGGACTCGCTCGAAGCAGACCTACTTATCTTTTCTAAGCCGGGGTGTGCATTATATTTTTAAATATAAACAGTGTTGTTTGTACCATATTAGTGGGCGGTATAAAAATACACGTGATTTTGGTTGGGTCGAGTATAAAACCTCACCACATGTAACCAACGGTGAGGGGGAGGTTAAAAATGCTAAAATACATCACGTGAATAATGGACGACCTCTCGCACCCTCAATGTATGTTTTTATACCAGTTTATGTATCCGTATAGGTGAACGTAGAAGAAGTGGTCAGCGTGGAAGTGATAACGTCTCGAGCCATAGGCGTGGGCGCATGTGCGAGCATAAGCGCCATAGCCCGCGGGTCGTCGCTGCGGGCGCTGGCGGCGGGCCGCGCGGCCGAGTGGAGCGCGGCGGGGCCCGCGGCCGTCCGCGACCGCGCCCTGTGCGGGCTCGCCGAGGGCGCCGCCAGGCTGCGGGCCGCCATCGCCGGCGTCTGGAGCCCTGAAATTGAGGTATGCTGTTATCGCTTTATGTCCGAGGACTTTACTTGTAAAAAAACCCGTTAGTTACCGTTATTTAACCAAAATTATGGTTAGCTACTGATAAATTAATGCTAGTAGGCAGTTTGTATTGACACATTAATACCTAGAAATGAGAATTATTGTTATAGGAGTTCCCAGTGAATTTGTCATTTGTTTGTGGTCAATTCGTTTTGGGCTCTCAGCTACTGAAAGTACTTAAAATGTAACAGCATTTTAGGTTAATAAAGAAACATGCGTATTTAACCACTTTCTATCACTTTAAAACCGTTACACAAGATGAGGACTAAAATGTCAGGCCATTTATACCGTAAATTTGTTTTCCATAACTGAAATGGCAGACAAGCTCACTCAGAGACTTACACCATCCGCCTAGTTCCAAGCTAAGTAGACTTTGTGTTACTAAACAACTGATATAAATACTTTTTTTTTTATAAATGCATACATATAATACATATACCGACACCCAGATCAATACAAACAATCATAATACATAAATGAATTGCAAACTGTGATGCAGGTGCTGGTATTCCCGCCGCTTCAAATAGTACCGGCTACGGCTCGCATTCCAGCGGGCGCCCGACTACAACTGCGGCGTTCGGGTGGACCTCCGCTACATCTCGCTTCCACTCACTACCGACTTGCGGGCGCTTCTACACGAGGCTCGCACCACAGCATCGAGGTATATACTTCAGTCTTGAAAATATCTCCAAATGTCGAACTAGACTTTAGATCACAAAGAGGCAGCCGTCAATAGTTGCAAAAGCAGACAATCATGTTGTGATATGAAAGAAACACTGACCTTTTCACTATAATTTATATTAGTATATACATTGTTGGACAGTACCATAATTATGATTGCAGTAATGTAGGTGTAAAATTTTCTGTTTGTAGGTTTCTCCAACGGGCTCTGTTCAAGGTCTATCAACTGGGAAAGCGCGTATAATATTAGTTGCGACTGATATAGCTAATGTCGAAATCGCTCGAGCTGAGGCAGAAGTAGAGGTAAGCTTTTATTATTAGGTGATTTATTGAGACTTTCTCTACCAGATAACCTTTTATATAATCTATATTGAATATTCTATAATTCATGTTTTAAATGCAGAAATAGAAATAATCTTACTAAGATTTTATCTATTCGTCGTCCGGACTCCGTACAGTGCCTTCTAGCGGTACTTGCTTTCTATAAAGGTTATATTCTTTACCGGCAATTTTAAAAACATTTTATTAACATAGTTAAGTCTCATTAAAGCCGTGCGTACGGTTACAAACGGTAGTGGTGTAAGGTGTGTGGGTGTGTATGTAGGTGGTGCCGATCTCCGGGCTGCGCGTGCGAGCGGCGACGCAGACGCTGGTGGTGGGCGCGGTGGGCGGGCTGTGGGTGGCGGCCGAGGGGCTGGCGGCGGGCGCGCTGCACGCGCTGCAGCCGCCGCCGCGCGTCGCCTGGACGCTGCGGGACCCCGCCGCCGCCAGGCTCTACACCGGACACGTCGACGGTCACCACCGCTTACTATAATATTTATCCGGCTCGAAGGATCGACATGTCTTGTATATGTTTCTTTGCACAAGCACTATTGCACACTAAAACTGCATATTGTGATGTAGACGTGTATAAATTGTATAAGTGCAATGATAATGACGGTCTGACGTGATCTACACTTACACCGCTTTTCTTTCGATGTTTGTGGGTTCGATTCATTGTACCATGCATTGCGTATTCATTAGTACAAGTGTTTAAATTAGTCTGGGTGGTTTTCTAAAATGTATATTATGTTTCCATATCTAAAATGTATGCCTTTACAAAAAAAGAATGTATTTCAAGTATTTGCATCAGTTGTCTTGTACACATGTGATAACCTTTGCTTATTTTGGAACTAGATGACGATTTATGAATTCTCCTTGGTTATTATTATTGTAAAAAAAGATGATGAGTACCATTTATAATGTACAGTCTGCAGTACACTGAAATTATTTTCTATAAAATTCCATTATATTGCAGACATGCTCGAAAGACAAGTTGCTGAGGGAATAGCAGTTAGGGTTGTGCCATTGAAACCGGGCGTTATAACAATTGACGTCAGAGTTAGAAATCTGGGCCAGGTAAATAAGTTTAATTAATATATTATAAGTCTTATTAGTAGGGTTTATGTGATATGCATATATTGAAGAAAAATATATTAAATACAAAATAGGTTCCTAGATCTACTATAAACATTTTTTACAATTAAACAAAATACGCTTTAATTTCTATTGAACTGTATATATTATTACTAAATTGCAGGAGTACAGTTTTTATAGCTTAACAGCTAAAATTAGAAAGGCATGACTAGTCGGTTTAAATGAAACTTTTTAAATTGTCTATTATTCCCATTATAAAGAAAAAATATAAGCTACAAAATATTTATAATTATTTTATGTTCAAATTGTCTTGAACATAGGTGGCAGAAACAAGGTCGTGGGACAGCACAATCGAAATATTGGGTGTATCAGACATTCGCACTTCAGTGGAAGGTCTTCCTAACGAATTTTCAACGGGCGAACGGCTTGCGATTGCCGTAGGCGCCACGTTGCAGTTGAAATCACTACCTAGAGGATCATGGAAGTTGTTTGATGATGGTGCTCTAGAACTCAGTCCTAGTGGCGAGCTGAAAGCATTACGACCGGGACACGGTGTTGTTATCGCACAACATAAGGACGAGAGAAATAATATTTATAGAGAAACGGTGAGTATAGCTTTTTAAATCTGTGGTAATTTTTTAACCTCGCGGGGTACAAATTTGTGTTCACGATTATATAGGTCAGAGTGTTTTTGACGTATATTATATATGTAGTTAAAAAAAAATGTGTCTATTTATTCCACTTGTCTAGTATCTATAACATGGCACTATGTGTCCTGACATAATATTATTATTATATGTAAACTTGATGGTGTATTTTTTAAATTAAATGATGCACCAGCTTGCGCTTAATCTACATTACTAACATTCCCATTCCCAAATTTGAATGTATTTCTGTATAATGACGAGAACGTGTCGTACAGGCGGTGCAGGTGGAGGCGGCGGTCCCTCACTACTGTACTGCGGAGCCGGCAGAGGGCGCGGGCGACGACAATGTGGTGCGGCTGGCGCTGCGCAGCTCGCTCGGGCGCCGCCTGCTGGCGCCGCGCGCCAACGTGTCCGCTCGTGGTCCTCTGGCGGCGGCCCCGCGCCGCGCACCGCCCTCGCACAGGTGAGCGCCGGTAGCTCGCTCGGGCGCCGCGGGTGACGTGTCCCCGCGCCGCGCACCGCCCTCGCACAGGTGAGCGCCGGTAGCTCGCTCGGGCGCCGCGGCCGACGTGTCCCCGCGCCGCGCACCGCCCTCGCACAGGTGAGCGCCGGTAGCTCGCTCGGGCGCCGCGGCCGACGTGTCCCCGCGCCGCGCACCGCCCTCGCACAGGTGAGCGCCGGTAGCTCGCTCGGGCGCCGCGGCCGACGTGTCCCCGCGCCGCGCACCGCCCTCGCACAGGTGAGCGCCGGTAGCTCGCTCGGGCGCCGCGGCCGACGTGTCCCCGCGCCGCGCACCGCCCTCGCACAGGTGAGCGCCGGTAGCTCGCTCGGGCGCCGCGGCCGACGTGTCCCCGCGCCGCGCACCGCCCTCGCACAGGTGAGCGCCGGTAGCTCGCTCGGGCGCCGCGGCCGACGTGTCCCCGCGCCGCGCACCGCCCTCGCACAGGTGAGCGCCGGTAGCTCGCTCGGGCGCCGCGGCCGACGTGTCCCCGCGCCGCGCACCGCCCTCGCACAGGTGAGCGCCGGTAGCTCGCTCGGGCGCCGCGGCCGACGTGTCCCCGCGCCGCGCACCGCCCTCGCACAGGTGAGCGCCGGTAGCTCGCTCGGGCGCCGCGGCCGACGTGTCCCCGCGCCGCGCACCGCCCTCGCACAGGTGAGCGCCGGTAGCTCGCTCGGGCGCCGCGGCCGACGTGTCCCCGCGCCGCGCACCGCCCTCGCACAGGTGAGCGCCGGTAGCTCGCTCGGGCGCCGCGGCCGACGTGTCCCCGCGCCGCGCACCGCCCTCGCACAGGTGAGCGCCGGTAGCTCGCTCGGGCGCCGTGGCCGACATGTCCGCGAGTATTATTATCCCGCAACATAGAGGTAAAGAGAACTATCTCTGTGTATGAGTTTCCATCAAAGGGCGTTGAATAAATAATTTAAAGTAGCGGTACAGTAATGGTAAAATTTAAAAGACGCATGAATAGTAAAGTTGTGGGTAAGTAAGTGAATAAGAAGTTTAATATAATATAATGGAAATATGGTAATAAATTATGATTGTTTTATTTGTATCGGCAGCGCGCTGGGTTACGAATTGGTGATATCTGGTCTGGACACAACGGGCGCGCTGATGACATTCGAGAGCTCCGAGGGCGGCGTCACCGTACGGGATGAAGTATGGGTGGCCGGGCCAGACCCTCGTGCAGACAACATCCTCGGTAAGTTTTAAACTACTGGTATTGTATTATTTACCAGTGATATTGTATATATCGAGTATGCGAAAAGAAATATTACTTTGCACATAATGTTACCAGCACAAAATTACTACTTTTTTATATCGTGTTTTTGTATAGTGCTGTTGAAATGAAATGAAATTCATATAGTTATGCATTAGAATGAGTCTGTCTTTTCGTTTTCTCATGAAGTACTACTACGAATTAAGAACTTGTGTTTATATTACATGATATTTAGTATTTTAGATTTTTGAGGTGGAAAAAAGAAGTTTCATATATAATGTCTCTGTTAGGAAAAATAACTCTCCGCTGCAATGTGTTTCTCTGCATTAGAATTTTAAAAGAAATGATAGTAATAGTAATAATGTATAATGTTGATTTTATAGATAGGTAAATCTTATTTATAAATCACAAACACATGGCATACATAAGATACAGAAATATTACAAATTGAAAAATGTAGGTGTCTTTGTCTCCCAAAGACGAAGAGATAATCAACTCAGCGTAAAGTAACAGATATATTTGCTAGCTCCTATAATTAAATATATGTATGTAGTACACTTGGAATGCTTTAATAATTCGCTTGGTGGTGTACGCAGCGTGCGGCGGGTGGGGCGTGTGCTTGGAAGGCGTGGGGTGGCGCGGCGAGGCGAGCTCGGTGCGAGTGACCGCGGGCGCGGGGGTCTCGCTCGCCGTGCTGTGGGCCGCCCGCCCGCGCCGCGCCGCCCTCACGCTGCGGCTCGACCGACCGCCCACGGCGCTCACGCTGCACCAACTTCCTATACATAAGGTACTGTTTGAGGCCTATACATCCATACATCTAAATAAGATTAGAGTGTCTGTTTGTAATATATAAAAAAAAAAAAAGTTTTTTACTACATGCATATGAATATAAATACGGTACATACACCAAAATAATATTTTTTACAATTTTTTCTTTGTCTGTCTGTTTGTTCCGGCTAATCTCTGAAATGCCTGGACCGATTTTGACGGCACTTTTATTGACATGTAGCTGATGTCATAAGGAGTAACTTAGGCTACTTTTATTTTAGAAAAATGACAGCTAATTTCCACGCTGACGAAGTCGCGGGGAACAGCTAGTAGATTATGTAATATAGGTTTCACTAACTTTAATGTCGTTATAGATACACAAGGTAGCATAAATTACGATATACCAGTGTAAGTTAAAACCCAAAATACATGTTCGCATTTTAATAATTAAAATTTGTGTTATAAATCTACAATTGAAATGTGACAAATTCTAAAATATATTTTAAGCAGGCAGTGGCCATAGATTTCATATTTTTATCACGAACGTTGTGACCCTTACTTTGATTTTTGAATTCAACATTGTTTTTAATGACAAACTGAGGTGTAAGTTGTATGCAATTTATGACCGCTTGGCACAAGTAGAAGCGCAAATTGAACAGTGGACTGCTATGGACTTAGATATACAGTTACAAATAGTAAAACTAGCTTTACATATACACCTCTGAAAAAGTTATTGCGTAAATGCAAATCTGTTACTGTCTTGTTTTGCGGAAACAACTTTTTCGACTTCTTTGATTGATTGTGTTTTTTGTATTGATTCAATATATGTATAGTTAGCCTTGGATTTCCTTTATTAAAGAAATAAATAAAAGAGAAATTATTTGTATTTTGTAGTTACATGTAAACGATAAACTAAAAAATTTATGTCATGCCATAAAAAATAATTTCGTACAGATGGAGTTTGCACCGGGTGTATGGCCATCCGCCATGGTTCCACTAATCATCGAAGCTGAAGGACTCACGACGGGACCTTTACTTTGCACCGAAGATCAGAGATATGCGTTAGAAGGCGTACAAGTCGAACTACCGTTTACGTGTCGAACTAAAGCGCCTCACACTGCCCAACCTGTGTTGGATATTATCAACGGTAAGTAATCTATTGTAAAAGCCTAGACGATGATTCTTATAACATAAAGTTTTTTTTTGTAAACAAAAATGCAATGTTTTTTAATCTGTGCTACAATAATTAAATTTTATTTCAATTTTTTTTTATTGTACTTTTATGCTATGGCAATGCATATATTTAATGGCTTTTAAGTTAATAATGATTCTTAATTATATCATAGTTCCTTATATTACATTTTCTGTATACAATGGATGAATTAACAACTAAGAACTTAATTAATGTGAAGAAGCGGAACAGTTGACTGTTTAAACCATTTTGTAGGGATAACCAAAAGGTGTTTCTTCTATTTATAGGTGAACTGGGCTGTTCTATCTTGCCATCTACGCCGATTATTGATTCTTCAGAAGTTGAATTATGCGCTGAATGGGACGCCGCCCGCACTTGTACCCGAGTGCTTCTACTGCCTCCCATTAAGCTGTCGCATACTAAAGTCTCACTGTTACACCCGCCCGCTTTCTTCACAATCTCCGGTCATCCGCATGCTCTAAAACTAGTCAAGATGAACACCTCCCCCGGTCTTAAACTAGAAACCCGTACGAAAGATGACGAGATTGATGTTATAGTTAAGAGTGAAACATCTGTTTGTGGTGTTGGATGGGTAAATGTTCGATCAAAGCTAACTTATCAAGAGTTGAGAGTCGAAGTCGAACGAGAAAGCGAGGTGGCGTGTGGAACGATACTTGGAGCGATATTTACCATATTGAAACCTTATTTGTCCACGTTGGCAACAGTCGCTGCGGTTGCAGCTGCATTTCTCTATGGTAAGTTTATTTTTAGCAAATTTATTATAATTTTATTAACACAAATATTTAATTTAAATCTTAATAAAAATAGTAATTAGAATCAACTCGTGAATAATTCATTCAATTTAAAACCTCAGAAGTTGATTGATAATGAAACGTCGATCAGTTAAGAGATACATAGTTGCATTTGGTTTTATAAAATTCAATAACGAAATAACTAATTATTTAAAATTTTAGCACAATCGCGGATGCAGCAAAAGGGTCAAATCCGTGTGCCGGAACAACCACCGCCCCAAAGCCCGGTACCGGAACGATTGAACCGTTCTAGAACGTGGTCGCGAAGTCCTTACGCGTCCGGTCCAGCCGCTCCCGTATACGGCGACGCCACTCTCCTCCCGGACCAGAGTTTCTCACAAAACTCCACGAGAATGCATTCCAGTTTTCCGGCCTTTGGGTTATAGCGCTTATGACTTTAGTCGTTAAATGTAAAAATTAAGGTGTTGAAAATCTCAAATAAAATTAAAAAAGCAGGTAATTATTTATGAAAACTATAATTTAGTATTTTTGGAGGACGCAATAGTTTTGATATTTCTCTATTTTTGAACAGGAATCGCATTTATCTGTTAAAGTATTTTAATGTTAATACATTATAAATTCTAAAAATTATACACTCTAACGTCTAAATTATGTTGCAGTACAGTATACATATTGTATATACTGTACTTTACATATTATATTACATAGTAACATATATACCTCATTATTTTATGGCAGTATTAGTCAATTATATACATCTGTTTACAAGAGTTTAAATAAACAGATGACGAAAATAAAAATCTTTATTTAAATTTTATTATGAAGAGTATTTTGTTTCATTGAATCATTCTCGATATATACATTTATTTGGTTAAAAATAATATTCCATAATTCTGTATGTATGTATTTATTTTGTAGTTATTTGGACTTGGTTGTTATATTCCATACTTGTAACTTGTTTAGACATTTTTTTATAATATATAATATTTATTTGAATACTCAGTCGTTAACAATCATAATGTTATTGATTTTCGATTATAATGTTAATTTTTAACGAGAATCAAATATGACGATGTTGGTAACAGTCACAACACAAGCTCAATGTTCTGTCCTTGTTAATTCGATTTCTTAACAGTACATATTCTTGACTGCCCGGAAAATGTATGTATTATATATCTCACTAGCTACTCGCCCCGGCTTCGCACGGGTGTACATGTATTATATATATAAACCTTCCTCTTCAATCACTCTATCTATTTAAAAAAAATCCGTTTCAAAATCCGTTGCGTAGTTTTAAAGATTTAAGCATACATAGGTACAGACGACTTTATTTTATACTATGTAATGGTGATGATTTGTCTGGTAGTTCCAGTATAATAAAACTACTACTATTATTACTGATACTAGGTGGCACTGTATACATTTTTTTTTATTTACATTAATAAACATTAGCCATAAATTACGTCATATGTAAAAGTGGAGGGAGGGAGTTGACAATGTGTGTCATTCTGTGACAAGGTGTATTAGGTGTTCTAAAATTCGTGATATTTCAAAATCCAGCTTATTTTACTATAAAGTACTAATTGTGTTGTTGATGAGTTTTCATTCTGTTACTGAAGATATCTGATTTCAAAGTTGTGAAAGAAGAATGGCACAAATATGACCAGCTGCGACAATGTGAGGGGAACACCATGAAATTTTTGTAACGTAGTTTATTATTTACCTAATATTCAATGATCGAATGTTACAATAATGTCCTAAAACTAGTTAACGAAACATGAAACTAGTCTGTAGGTTAATATTATTTTCTCAACGTGAAATACCTAAAATTTCAGCTGTATATTTGTATTCCAATTCGTGTAAAACGGGTTTTAAGGTGGGCAATTTATGTCAATCGTTTTCTACCATCGCCCATGAAAATTCCGTAAATATTGCAATGATTTAGTGTTTAGTATTAAAGTATTTATCTGTGAATTAGACAGATCAGTGTTAGTGTGTCTATCATGTGTGAAAAGATGCTGTGAAATTGTAAAATACAATTTACTTGTTTTATATCTTAATTCATTCATGTGAATGAAATAAGTTCCATACAAGTTATGGTGTTTTGTTTATTAAATAAATCTCTTTAACATCTAGTCTTTCCTTAACGTAAAATATAACAGCAAATCAATAATGAAAGTACTTAACCATAATTTTTGTTTTATATTGTTTCAGTACCGTAGGTATAGAAAATAATGAGCATAAAATCTAATATTTCTTTTTATTTTATCAGTTACATCAGTACCCGCGTGAAATATACCCTCTGTGTTATTCTGATGTATAAGCTAAGTTGTGTAAGATAATGTAAATTTCATTAAAATCCATTATGTAGTTTTTGCATGAAAGATCATCCATACTTAACAAACATCCATCCATCCATATCCACTACTCACAAACTTCCGCGTTTATAATAATAGTAAGATTATTTTAGTGATGACGTATTTTATTGATTTTGTATGTACGTGCGAGATAATATTGGCACTACTGCCAACTATCTAAAGAAATGTTGACAGTTTGAATGGAAAGTTATCCCAGTGGGATGTCAGCTGGATATTTCGTTAAACTTCCTGAAGTTCGGAAACTTGAATTTGAAGTTTCATATGTACTTGTACATAATATGTGTTATTTTGAAGCTTACAAATGTCCTGGGCACGGGTTGAATTTTATTGTGGAATTTGTTGCTAATTTGTATCGTTTCTGAGATTGATTAATTTCTTATTAGTAGACAAAAATGCCAGAAGCCATGTGTGTATTATGTAGGCATGTTCGAATACAAACTAGGAATAAATTCGTATATTTAGAATAATGTGATTTTACAGATTCTCTTAATTTGAAATGGAATTTTGTTTTCTTTAATTGTAAGCCTACTTTGTGCCAGATCATAACATTATGTATATTGTTGCACCCGGCCAAAGGTTACAATGGTTTTTCATAAATATTTAAAGGTATACCAACTATTAATGTATTTTTTTTTGTGATAATTGAAATGGAATCTTAACAATAATTTTTGTAACTAAGAAAACTAAAAAATCAGCAGAAATCAAGCATTTATTCCAATTTTTGTTTTTATCAATTTAGGTAATATACAGTGTACAATATGTTAATTGAATACCTACAATACAGATTGTGTATTGGTAGTTGGTATAAAATGGGTACAGTCAGCGGCTGTTAATTGATAACTTTAAATGACAATTTAGTAATTACTGCCAATATATAATTGATTTGACTGTACCAAATTTAATGTGTATGGTATTAACACAAGCTTAGTTAGTATTCATTCTTGCGCATCCATTGTTTTTCATTCATTAGTATATGTAGGTACTTATCAAATTTCGTAGTTTTTGTGTTATAATGTACAAACACACATTTTTACCAAATAAAATCTCGAGAATGTCGAGTTAAAAGTCTGATTATAGTTATGATATTAAATTGTATCTAAAAATTTGTGTTTGTTATCCTATACATTTATAGGAAATTCAAGTTGTAATAAAGTATTTTTTTATAATTCAAGTTTTTTAATTTACACAATTCTTCTGTCTGACATTTGCGGGTAATGAAGATATTAGCAAATTTGACTTTGTCTGTTATTGTATTATTCTTCTAACATTTGTAAAAGGTCCTCTTGTGGTGTGCTTGGTAGATTAGGATTAAAAGTGAGGTCAGTTGTCATTACTTTTCTGCTAGTCACTATCGATTCAAATTGTGTGTCACGAGATATTTCTAGAGTACGCTGTCTAGATTGCCTGCCACCAAATTCCACAGGTAATTGGATTTTTACTATATTTTGTTTATGCTTAGCGTTTTCCATGGAAGCTAAAAGACAACTAATTTCATTTGTATCTGTGCATCTACTTTCATATTCGTCAATTGGATTCTTCTTTATGTCATATATGTATATGTTTTCGCCCAAATTTTGTAATATTTTAGGATTAATAGTAGAAGGCAAATTGAACGTGCCGTCTTTTCGTTGTAGACCTAATCTTAGCAATACCGAAATTTTGGTGTGATATTCTGAAAACCACAAAATTAATGTATTCACTATACATTTATAATCATCGTCCGTGAATCGTTGCGCTAAAGATTGAAATCTTTTCATTGCTTGGTCAATAATGCATTTTGGGAAATATTGTGGCATTAGTGTGGCCACATTTTTTAAATGTCGCATTGTTATGTCAAAAATATTTTGATTTGTTGCTACTGAAAGCTGCCACTTTACAATCATTGTCATTAGATCCCACAGCTTTTTCATGGAATAATCATCAAGTTTCATGATGGATGTAGCTGATACGTCTTGAAGGAGCTGCCTTATAACGACGTGCGTTGCCACCGGCTGTGGTATAAATAACTCGTCTAGGAGTTTCGGATGTAGTAACACGGTTAATACATCGGTGAGTACTGTAAAGAAAATTATTATTTTTATTTACATGTTTTTACTTAACCCTTAATCAAAACTTTCTGTAATTTCAGAAACAACTAACCTCTTTCGGACTTATCAGGCCCTATATTTTGTGCCTTTAGTCTTTGATCGATCACATACACCATTTCACATCCTAAATTAACAACAATAAAAGGGGTCGCAAAGTGAGACATTTTTCTTTATATTGAAGAAAATAATCGATATTTTTTACACCACAATGAGCATTGACGAATGTTATGAACGCGTAATAGCGAAATTGACTTCTGAGAACAGAATAAAAGAAATTTCGTTGAAACTATTATCACTATCACACAATGATGATAGAGTCTTGTATGTCTACGATATATTAGGCAGTTTGGATGTCTTTCCAGATCTAATATCTGTATCCAAGTCTGAGGATGTTTCTATACATTACCGTCTCCTAGGCAACCAGTGTTATGGAAAGAAAGAAAATTATACAGCAATACAGTATTACAATTTGTCATTGTTATATGCACCAATGGGATCAGATTGTTACAGTGTAGTATTATCAAATAGATCTGCAGTGTTTTTAACAATAAGAAAATACAATGAATGTTTAAATGATGTAGAAGAGGTATTGAAATCTCAATTTCCACCCAATTTGAAAAACAAACTAATTAAAAGAAAAGAAACTTGTCTCAGTAAACTTACAAATATAAAATTACAGAATGAAGACAATCAAGACATTAAACAAATATTCACACTCCAGGGTCCTAAAGACCCTAGATATATTTGTGCTAGTTCCAAATTGGATGTGGTTTATACTGAGACAATGGGTCGGCATGTAGTTGCAAAAGAAGATATAAAGGTGGGTGAAGTATTAGTACAAGAGGAGCCATATACAGTATTACTATTGAAGTCGCAGTATTTAGTCAACTGTAGTTATTGTTTGTCTACAAGTATGAACTTGTTGCCTTGCACGCAGTGCTGCTATGTTTTGTACTGCAGTGAAACTTGCAGGGATAATGCTTGGAAACATTATCATAAAATTGAATGCCCATTAATGTCTGTATTGTTGTATATGGAGTTTACGAAACTTGAGTGGCTTGCACTCAGAACTGTTATAAAAGCGAGAAATGATCATAATGATTGGACTGAACTATTTAATAAAATAGATGAGGCTGAGAAGTGTGATATGGAATATAAAGGGCAAGTCAAAGTACATGATGAGTGGGTGTATGATTCAAAATACTATGAGTCAATTCACACTTTATCAAGTAATATTGAAAAGAGATCTGTCTCAGACATCTTTCAGAAATCTGTCACAGCTGCTGTGTTCCTCTATATGTTAATTGAGTATACAAACTTTTTGAATGCTGCAGATAAAGATGTAGAAATTAAAGCAAGGAAATGTGTGGCTGGTATGCTGTTGCACCATATAATGACGGTTCCTATTAATATGCATGGCATTCAGTCTACAAAGCAATCTGCAAATGGCAACTATGTGGATGAAATAAGCATTGCTAGTGGTGCTTATGCCTACCACAGTTTATTGAATCACTCCTGTTCTCCTAATGTTGTTAGAACCAATAGAATGGGGAGCACACTCATGACGCTGATAGCACTGAGACCAATAAAAAAGGGAATGCAAATTTTTGATAATTATGGGTATGTAAAATTCTATTTTCATAGTATATTTATAATATCTGAGCCTGGTATAAAAAAACTTATCCTTTTAATATTGTAGATGCTAAACTTTGTGAGGATGTATGAGTGGATGTTTGTTACTCTTTCATGCAAGAATGACTGGGTGGATTCAAATTATATTTAGTATGCAGGTAGATAATATTCTAAATTAACCTAGAGGATAGTTTTTACCCTAAGTAATTTAGACAACTCCATGGAATACAGCTAGTATGTATATCTTTCATTCTAAATGCATAAAATAATTTAAGACTAACTTGGAACAATTGCAGAATTTTTTGACAATTTTTTTATTTGTAAATTATACATAAATTATTTTCAAATTTCAAATATGTTTGGAGAAAGTGAACCGTCATGTATACTGTATTCCTGCAACATCTAGAAGTATAATGCATTTTAAATGTAAGATACACATCACTATTTCAGTTTGTATTTATTCATTGTAGGTAAGCCTTAAATGCCTCCCATCATGTGTGATGTTCCACATTATACATCTATCCACTCTGATACCTTCTTATTGTCATTGCACCGATGACAATAAAAGGTGTGTTCTACTGGCTGTGCGTCTGATATTATGTCATTCTCCACTCTAGACTTTTTACATTACTACCATTGCAGACACCTTGACACATATGTGTCATTTTTTCATAGTCAGATTTTTTTAGTAGATCTTACTTTTTAATATAATTTATTGATACATTATTATGTTGTCTTTTTTAATAATCTTGAAATGTCTTTAAAGATGTGTACCAAATTTCATGAAATACAATTAGTGTTTATATTTACAATAAGGAGTAAGTAGTAAAATATTTATATATATATATTTTTTTTATATTATTATTTATATTTTATTAATTAGAAAATATAATTTTCCTTTTCCAGCTCCCATCATGCTCTTCAAAATTACGAGGAACGGCAGAACAATCTTAGATTTCAATACAAATTTACTTGCTGTTGTGAAGCTTGTGTTAATAAATGGCCTTTATATTTTAACATACCTAGAGGTAACTTACCATCAAAGATAATTAAGCAAATACAGGAATTGCTGAGTTCTGATTTCATTGAAAAACTACAAAAGGGAGATCTTCATACAGCTATGACATTGTACAAACCTTTATGTACCCTCGCTGAGAACCTAGAGCCATATGCACCCTGTACTGAATTATCTAACTGTCAAGAAACCTTAAAGCAATGTTTGCAAATATTTACTGGTCTTATACCATTTGAATTAAGCAAGATAGTAGAATGGGGCGCATACCCTCCACAAAAATGTATGCTCAAAACTTAAATAAGAAAACTATTTTTAAATACTGTTATTGCATATAAGATATTTTTTTTATATTATTTATGTTCCTATAGTCTTTTGGCTCTATTTTGTTAAAAATATTATATAGACATATAAATATTAGAATTTATTGAATCGATTTACAAGTGAGTATTAACTGTTAATTGCAACTATTATTTGAGTCTCCTATACTATTGTTATTTAAATTTTGTTATTAGCTTTTAAATATGATAAATATTATGTTATCTTTATGCTTGTGTCGAACAGAATATGTGATACTTACCATTAGTGAACTGAAATAAAATGTGTTTATTAAATTTTTGTATCATGTTACTGGTGGTAAGGATATCGGTTTAATATATATTATAAATACTTAAAATATTTAAATAATTGTTATTTATATATATAAATCTTAATAGCTTACTTCATAGAGCAACTACTACTACTAAAACGACTAACTAAAACGTGATTTAATAGATATACTATCGTCTGTTATATTACAAAAGCCACATTAAGGCGTTTTCTTGACCGATTATTGAGACGCGTATATGCGCTTAGTAAAAGAATCTGTTTGAAATAAATCAATCAGAAAGATCTCGTGTAGATTACACTTAAGAAGAAACCAGAAAGAAAAAGTAATTGACTTTGTTATTTTAAATTATAACTTTATAAGCATCTTCCTACTGGCGTCTTTTTTATATTATACATTCATTCTTTTTGATTTTATATAAACTGAAGAAGTACTTAGTATTGGTATTATTAGTTGTATATATTTCTGTAATAACGGATCATGTTATGGCAGATAATTTACTGAAACTGAGAATAATAGAGGAAAAACGGCATTAGCAATTTTAATTAATTTAACTTTAACAGAGAATAAATAATAAAATTAGTTTAATCATATTTTAACTTGTTATTGGGCAAACATTAAGTACAAAATCTAGTTAAACAATGAAACAAGTCAACTAATATCACAGAACAAAGTAGTAATTAGAAAGTTATTAAAAATATACTTCAGTGTTGGCAATAAACCGTTACTTCGTGTCATCTTTTTCAACACATATAAACAAATTTAAATAATTGCCTACGTAGCCAAACAATTAAAAATTGTTCGTGTCATGTAACAGATTTGTTATTCGTTTGTTTAAATTGTTTAGTTATGACGTTCTTTAATTGTATAACAAAATCACTATATGACATTTACTTCATACAGTAAGTACAGTAAGTATCGGCGCATGGGCCATTCTAGCTTAGGGATGAACTATAAATAAATTCAGAAAGTACGGTTATCGACAAACAATTTATTTTATTACTGTACGTCATGATTATTATATTATAATAATTTATATCATAAAGTAAAAGCCTATTTGCTGTGCCACCAATATCATATTAGATATATGAACAATTGTTATAATAGACTAAAGGGGATGCCTTTGTAAATCGTGCCTTAGCAAACAATGTTCTTTAGATAATTGTACTACTTGGCATTATATTTATTAATCTAGTTTAGTAGGCTTATACTTAATTATGAATTTTGTTCTGTGTTTGTTTATAAATACTCAATGCTAAACAAAATAATAAAGATTATTAAGAAAAATATATTTATAAATTATTTTTAACCATAACGTATATAATATCACTTGTTATTTTAACAAACTGTAATTGTATCTTATTCAAAATATCTAATTATAATACAAAATAACATACGAAAATAATGATACAGTAAATACTTATATTGGGTGAGAGGGTGAGACCTTTAGAACCAAATATGTTATTAAATTCATTAGTAACTTTATCCTCATTATTTATAGTTAACCGTCCAGTTATTTCAACATTGATTGGACCGTAATGCTTAATGTAGTCTAAAACACATTCCAATTCGTTATATTGGATTTGCTCATTTGGAAGATTTTCAAATATTGTGTAACCATCACCAGCTGCTGCTAAAAAAGATGGCATAAATACTTTGTACTCATAATAATCTTTTACATCTCTCAACTGCATGTTGTCACATTTGGCGCAAACGGCTTTAGCTGATGTAACCCGAGATCCGGGTGGTTTCGTTAAATCATACACAACTTCGATACCAGACATTTGCAAAAACTGACCGGTGCTATCTACTAGACGCCACGTAGACACTGAATGTTCCAGCATCCCTTTTAATATAGTTCCATTCATAGTCACTATTGCTAATGGATCAGAAAACGGCAATACAGTCATCCAGTCATTTCTAGTCATATTATAAGGCTTTTCAGGTTGATCAATCGATGCTCTTATTCTGCCACCTTGTACAATGGCTATATTTACGTCAGAATACTCTTTGTAATATCGTCTAGTGTAGTTCAGGATAGAATCAGTTATTAAATCACCTATATTACATTCTCGCAAACGGCACTCTCCGTTTAAGAAAACTGAAGATTCTCCGATGGATTCGCTATTCAATAAGTCAATTTTACTTCTATATCTGTTAATAGTTTCTAATAATTCGGGGTCATCAGGCACTTTCTGATTTAGAAGGAGTGGCGAGCCATCATACTCTACTATTTCACCGTCAGGATTGAACGTCACATGTAATTGTCCTATGTATTTAGTGTAAGCGTAAGCTTGTACAACCAATACCGATTTCCCTGTTGATTGTTTCACTATCGTAGGGTACGGACCCTGAGGTATTTCAGGTTTTTCATCACTTTTTATACCATTGTATAGGAATGTGTTTGAATGTCCACCTATCACTATATCTAAATCATTAACATTTTTTGCTATTTCTAAATCCTTATAGAACCCTGAATGTCCGAGTGCAATTATAATATTTACACCTTGATCTTTTAATTTATTAACTTCTCTTCTTAAAGCAATAACTTCATCTTCGTATTCTACCTTATTTCTAGGAGCTAGGAACTTTGTTTCCGGTGTTAGGTATCCTATTATACCTATGCGGTTGCCTTTTATAGATAATACGATTGCATTATATAAATTTGTTTCATCTTGCAATTCAGGTACTTTATCCAATATGAGGTTAGCGGCTAATACAGGTGATGTCAAATTTCGTATAAATGGCACGACTCCATCTACACCTTCGTCGAACTCGTGATTTCCAAGAGACTGAAAGCAAAAACAACTGCTTAGTTACTGAAGTTTTGTTTAAATATACAATAAGGAATTGGATACACAGGTAACTGTCGAAATAAAATAAATCTTTATTCTGTTCTTAAGTTTTATGTTTAAAATATAGCTTTAAATATATGGAAATACAACAAATAATTGTTCGTATCCTACAAATATAGTTATGTAATCAGTCGACATATTGTCGTATAAGTGACTGGTAACTACCGTAACATCACATTGTGTGTATGTACTTACAAAAGGTACTTGTAGGTAAAGGTTTTCAAAAGTCATTCAATATTTTTAGTTTATCGTAAAAAACACAATTGTTGTATTGTAAAGAATAATTAAGAAATACATAAAAAGTTTTAATATAATGTATTAGATATATCGGTGGTCTTATCTCAGTAGAGGTATGTAGAATAAAAAGTTCCCTCAAGTAATATTAGGTGTGACAAGTCAAAATTTTAATCATCCATCTTCAGGAGGAACGGGCTTCAAGGTTTACATTGTTTATTTATTTCAGTCGAGCACATAGTATCATACAGTAAGATTGTTAAATTAATAAGATTTATTACTCTGATGACGATTATATACTTATTGTATAGTATATATATATATATACTATTAGTATACCATATACCAGATATTTTTATAAGGATATACCTAGGTATATATATAATACTCAAATATTATATGAAGTTACAATTGTGTCGGTGTGTCAACACCGATTAAAACTGCCTATATGCAATACTATAATCAGGGGAAATATCAGAGCAGTGGTGGGGAGTGTCCTGTATTGCTTCCTAGATCATCAGTGTGTAGCAGAATCATTTCGAGGCAGGACGACTTCTCATTGAATGCCCGTCTATCCTAAAGTTACATCTACCGCTATTGTTCAGAGATTGCCCCTAAATATAGTGTCGTGTCTAGGTCATTTTATTCAGTAGCATCATTACTGAATTTTTATTATTATTACCCGGATTTGCATCATTTATAACAAAACATTTTATTTATGACTATCTACTCTTTTCGGCTTTGCGCTGGTGTACATGTATTATACATATAAATCTTTCTCTAGAATAACTCTATCTATTACAAAAAATGGTGTTCAAAATCTGTTGCGTAGTTTTAAAGATTTAAGCATAGATAGGGGCGGACAGACAGCGACAGCGATTTTAATTTTATAACCAATGTTTTTCTAGCAAAGCATTTTTGTAAGCGTTGTTTACATACATTTTTTGAATATTAGTATTAATTGTATATAACAGTCGCATCTGCAAGATGCGCTTGTGCTGACTGTGTTTGACTTGACAATGCTGGGACAACGCATATCTACATCGCGGCAATGTCAACCGTCCGAGGTTCTTGGCCTTTGATACGAGAAATATTTTAATCGCGTACAAAGTATGATATTTTGAACCGATGAAAATCGTTCAAAATACAAGGTTGTATGGTTAGAGAGACAATACACGTAGTATTGAATAATAAAAATAATTTTAACAAACAATTGCTTTGAGAAGCTGATGTGTGGGATAGGTATAACCAGTAATAGTGATTACCAGGTTTCCAACCGAATGTGCATGGGATACAGGTTGAATAAATATTATTATTTATTGAATTTAGTCATTCTAGAGAAAATTTTAGTAATTATCTTTAATAGGTACCTAGGTTAGTTATGATTATAGCCTATATACTCCCCTACTAGAAGCCACTTTGTGGTCTTGAAATAGCATTAGATATTTACATTATACAATAAATATAAAGTAGGTACAAAGCAAGGAATACATCTGATACTTGTGTATTTAACATATGTACTATATTTTGTAGTGAGGTAACAAAAGAAAAAAACGTTTCGCTTTATCTATCTTGACGTCCGCATTCCTACAGGATTACCGTTAGTAGTAAGTTTACGTATTCCGTCGTATACTCATTGTTGAAATAAGGATTTTAGTATTAAATAGTCTAAATTGCTGCTTACGACATTAAGAATGTTTTAGGCATTCTTTAAGTGAATTATATTATGAAGAAATTTTACTTCTTTTTAATATGAGTAATTTGCATCATACTTATAAATTATGTAACTTGTGAGTAGGCAAATGATTTAGCATATTGTTAGGATATCGTGTGCAATAGTGGAAAATGTTTAAATTTCGCTAAATTCAAATTCGATATTCAGCAAGGGATATTCATCAGTAGAAAGTTACATTTACGTAACTACTTACGTATGTATCCGTTCGTGTTCGTTTTTACTTTCATAGCTTAGGTTAGGTTATGGACAAAATGAAACAAACAATATTATTTTATAAATGTTATTATTTATCAGATAAATACATATAAATAGACATGACGTAAAAAGTACTTTTTTGTTTGTAAATACAGACGTAATATCCAGGTCAAACAGTCATACTCATGAAGACAAGTGTTTCTATCTTGCGAAGTATCGAACCCGCTATAATCGGAAGTAAGACAATTTGCTATACCTTGAGACCCTCGACATCATATTGTATTACTTTTATTTCCCAAAACCGAATTTCCATAGTGTGCTCGCTAATTATACTAAACTCTCAATAGAAATCAGAGTGCAGAAATATTACCCCTGGATTTAGGGTCCTATGTCCGTTTAACAGGATTTCTTTTACTCGCTATGTGTATATATTATGTGTGAACACACATTTTCGAACACAGAAATTGATTGGCGGAATGGCATAGCATACTATAGAAAGGGAGTCGTCGGTACGAGTTGTCCGACCGATTCTAATAGCGTGTGAGCGCCTTAAGTGTTTTCCTCCTCGCGCATGAAAGGTTTTGTATAGATTATTATTATAGATTATTAATTATTAGGTATTATTATGTATTTGATGGTATACTTATTTAAGCTAGTGAGCAATTATTAATTAATTAAAATGCACAACTCAGTCACCTCTTTATGACTCGTAGTATTACTTACGTCTGTATTTAAAGTCTAGATCTATCCTTTTTCAAATTTTCGTAACAATATTTTACATGTAGGGAAACTGTCAATGTACTTATATTATTAAGTTTTTTATTATGAATTTCATAATACATCTTACTAATATTTTAAGTTAGAGTATGGATGGATAGATTGATGTTTGTTACTTTTTCACACAAAAACTACTGAACGGATTTGGATGAAATTTTACAATAATGTAGCTTATACATTAGAATAACTTAGACTATAATTTAAAAATATAATATGTAAATGAAAATGCGAAATTTAAAGATGTTTGCTAAGTGTGATGCAGACGAAGTTGCGCGAGTAACTAATTAAATGTATTTTTATAGAATACAATACGTATAAAAATATCGTATGTCATTATTTGAGGAATGATTAGGATTTAGTGAACATCTTATGTTTCATTTAGAAAGATTATAATGAAGTAACTCATATTAGCATATTGTCTTAAATAAAATGTCGATTTTAATATACAGACGAGGTAAATTAACCTCAATAAAAATGCACACAATAACAAGAAAGTATTTAATAACGACGTATAAACGACATGTCCGTGCACACAAATAAATACGAGTAGGAATAAAATAATTACAACCCATAGTCTTAGGAATAATAAACATACCTTATAACATAGTAGTTTCTAGTTGGCTATTATGCATTCAATTTTAATAACAACCTCGGATGAAGTTTTTATTCTTTCAGTCAAAATTTTTCTATTATAAATCGACGTCTCAGGTGATCAAAAGGCTGACGTCTATTTCAGAGTATCAGTCTGGCCAAGTCTGGCCTTATGAAGTGGAAACTCCATTCCCTCCCTACCTAATGATGGACAAATTTTCTTCAGTTGTATTTATTTTATTTGTATACTAATTAGATTTTAATTGTTTTGTTACAAATCCAGTCAAATTATTAAAATTAAATAAATATGATAGGAGGTTTTAAAATTCTTACATTTTGCATATTACGTGTACACTTTATTATTTCTATATAAAAATAACTCACAAAGAATTCTTACGCAGCTTAGTTATCAGCAGTTTCTGATAAATAAAATTCTTATACTCGTATAAGAATTTTTCTATCAGCTAAATCTTAATAGGTATATAGGATTCATAAGGATATCTACTCATTTTAGTAATACTTAGTACTTCTCGTTAACTTTCTATAATACTTCCAAAGATGGAACTATAAAGGTCTGTATTCATATCATTATGCGGTACGAATTACCTTCATTTGGGGCATCAGATATCAAGTCCTATCTGATTTTATTATACATTTCGACTGACCCTTTCGTTCCTAACAAAACCGCTCTTTAGATTCGATACCAAGTAAGTTCTTTAGTTTTGGTATCGGGTTAGGATTACTTTTCAGTCTAATCATATCAAATCTCTTAAAGTAATATAATTGATCTAAAAAAGAGCGCTATGTGATCGATTAAGTGTATTTCATACAGATTTTTACATTTTAATAATGTTACTTGAGGAAAATTATATAATTTTAAAAGTAGATAATAATAATGGGTATGCCCATTATGTCAAAATTCGTATCTATAATAGAAGTACTTAATTAATTAGTAGTTTCATAACCATTTGCAAGCATAACGCTAATACTCGTATGTTTTATTTAAAATATACCTACTTAAATAAATACCTCACATAGGCAATATCATTTACAACAATTACGTACTATTAATAATTTCAAAACTCCGGACATAATACTTTCATTATATAACTAAGAAACATTTATTTCAATCAATGTACTTAACTAAATTTAAATTACATAAACATATATAAAATTTATTCGTTTGTGAGCTACGCTGCAAAAGACAGATGCACAGAGACTTGCCTGTGTCTATAACATGTTAAACCTATAATCCTCTCATTTCGCGTTGAGGATTTAAAGCACGAGTGAAATTCTACTTAGGCACCTACATACATACTTATTAAGGGTTTTACGGAAATCGTTATAATCTTCGTAAGTTGAAGCCACGGTTGGAAAATATATATAAAAGTATAGATGCCTCTAATGAACTTCTAACACATTAATCTAAAATTATATATTTTTCACTTGTGTTACCGTCAAAAGCATTTGACATTTTTGACTCATCATGACAATGTGTTCATACTGTTCCTAACTACCTAGCTGTTACATAATTTACTAAAACGTAGCTAAGTAGGTACTTAAGTCAGCACCTATATATTACTCATTATTAATTTCTCTAACTTTTGCTATTGAATTATCAGGATAAAAACAATATAAGAATTTCTCTAAAAACTTGCGTACCTAATTAAATTAGTCTACAAATTACAGGTAATTTTTTTTTATTATTTGACAGCGGAATTTTCTGCTACAAATACCTACTTTCAAGTATTTACAGTAATTTAAAGACACTCCCCGATAACAATATGAACGTTAGATATATCGAAGGTGTCAACATATTTGAGATTGAGGTAGTTCTTTTTGTACCGAGGTTTATATTATCTGTATTTAATAAAGTTATTCTGCCTTCTACTTCGGGAAATACGGCGCTGGCAGTTTGATTAATATAATATCTAGTAGCATCTAACTCACTGTAATTGAGATTGTTAGCCGTTAATCCATTAAACATCCAATAGCCATCGCCGCCATTAAAAATAAAATCTGGCATAATGATATTGTAAAATTCTGCAGAATTTACGTCACTATATTCTGGTATACTACATGCCGCACATCTAACCTTTACTGAAACTACTTTTGATTGAGGTGGTTTGCTTAAATCGTATATAACATGCAAACCAGAACATTGTAAAAATTCCCCAGGAAAATCTATAAGACTATAATTTGCCACCGCATGCTCAAGCATTTGTATTAGAGTACTGCCATTTAATGTGACTGTTACTAAAGAGCCCTGAAATGGTAATACATTCAACAAATCTTCTTCAGTTACTGCTGCTGGGAAATCTGGGTGTGCTATAGATGTCCTTATGCCCCCTCCTTGTATAACGGCAATTGCTGCATCTGTCCAGTACTTGCCCTTATATTTCTCAGCATATTTATAAATCATAGCATCTGTTATTAAATTACCCATATTGCATTCTTTATCTTGACAACTTAAACCATCGAGTGAAACCCTAGTAGAACCTACGATTTGTTTTGATAAAATTGTTACACCCTCTCTATATCTTTCAACAATATCAACAATTTGAGGATCTTGTGAAAATGAACTATTTAATAGTATAGGGTTTCCGTCCACGCTAACTACTTCTCCATCGGAGTCAAATGTAATATGCAATTTCCCAAGATATTTTGTGTAAGCATAAGCTTGCACTACTGGTACTTGTCTACCCGTCGACTGTGTGACGTACGTTGGATAAGGTCCCTGAATTGCTTCTGTATCTGGAGTTTCGCCATTCCATAGAAAAGTATTAGAGTGACCACCAATGACCAAATCTAATCCATCTACTTCTTTTGCTATTTCTAAGTCTCTAGCATATCCAGAGTGACCAAGCGCTATGATTATTTTTATTCCTTGACTTTGTAAGTTGGTGACTTCGTCTTGGAGGGCAACAACTTCATCAATATATTCAACATCATTTTTTACAGCTAATATTTTAGTGTCGGGTGTTAAATAACCTATAATACCTATTTTATGGCCATCTACATTTAATATTATGGATTTTTTAAGATTATTTTCTGCGGCTAATTCTGGCACTTTAGTTAAAATAAGATTAGCTGCTAGAACTGGCGATGTTAAATTTTCTATGAAGGGGGTGAGTCCACTGACGCCGTTGTCAAACTCGTGATTTCCAAGAGACTGAAACAAAGAACATGGTTATGACATTATGTCAGCCTCACCTTGTCATGACCTCTTTATATCAATGGAATGTATTATATATTATCTGTAATGAAAATATAATCGACTAACACTTTCCACTTATATTCCATAATTTTCATAACAATGTATATTAATCCTAGCGGCTTACAATCAGTTATTATTACATTAATTGCAATGTTTCATTCAATAATAATAAAATTTCAATTCCGTTTTATAAATTTAATGTATATACATATATATTCTGTATATTTTTGGTTTAAGTACACATTAGTTATAATTCCGCTGCTTATATATATTCAAGAAGTTAATATCTATCTACTTCTTAAAGATAAGGGAAACCGAAGGAATGGTGTGAAATCAACACTACGCCATAAGCATACAAAATGATGCAATTACAGCATGCCATACTCATTAATATATGATAAAAGAATATAACATGTTGTATAAGTAAATAGCAAATGTACTTAACAATTTATTGTGCTCAACAATAATGACAGCATATACACTATTACATATTGTTATCCTTATGAATGATGACTTAACAATAGTTAAATTAGTAAAAAGTTTATGAAATGACATGTGTTAAGATAAAAAATGAGATTCAAGTAAATATTAAAATTATAAGTATAGTAAACAGGTAATTGTTAATAGTAACACTAAATAAAAATCGTGGTTGATAAAATGTCCTGTGTTATAATAGAATAACGAGCTGCAAAAATCGGATTATTTTTATTAAAATACTTTTCTGTCAATATTATAACTTTTCCTTCATGTAGTTAATTATAGTTTAAAGTATGATACTCAAAAACTGATAAACCATCACCTCCTATAGCTAAGGATGGGATCATCAGTATTCTATGGCTATCGTTTATTTTGGGAAGAATAAATTGGCACTTAACATTTGTTACATCGCATTAAAACACAAAATACTCTCTGACCTGATATTTTGTTAAAACTAGATACACCGTGAACCCTTGATATTTGTAAAAACTGTCCAAAAGACCGTTTCGGTGTATTTCTTTACTGCATGTTTTCAAATTAAGCATTTTGTTAATGTCCGAGCTCCGTACTGTTGTTTTACAAATAATTGATTAGCTTTTATGCCATTAAGTAATAATGTAAAATGGCATAACAGATAATAAATTATTATTAGAATGGGCTATTGAAGCTTTTATCAAACCATCTTGAACTAATGCTAGCGGTGCACCTTTCCAACGATCTCGAATATATTCTGAAGGTATTCGCATAGGTATTTAAATGTAAGTACCACATTACATTCTTGTAAACGACAAAAATGTCCATCTATATGCACAAAATTCTACCAACTACAATTTTAGTTAATCTTTAAATATCGCGACGATGTTTGTTAAAAATTGCTAGAATGACTTGTGGTATATACCTAGTTATTCTGTGGGACTGGGTTACCGTCAAATTCAAAGAGTTTGCGTTCTGAATCAAATACTACACGTAATTTTCCCACAAATTTTGTATACATAGCTTGTATTGTTGGATATAGACCTTATTTAATGAGCGTAAGATAAGATCCTTCTATTTTTTAGATATCAGGATCAGGACCCATAAAAATGTGTTTGTATGTCAGCCGATTACTATATAAATGTCTTTCACTTCATTAGTCACATCTAAGTGTTTTGTAACAGACTGGCTTAATACTTTTAATATATTAGGTACTTCCTAGTTTTTTAACTTAGCTGCTTCCTTTCCTATGGCTATTATTTCTTCAATCTATTACCTACATATAATTCCTCATTGCTAGTACTTTTTTGTCAAATCCTGTAATAGCCATTATTGTATCCTATATATTTATTACGATAGATTCATGAAAATTTGTACAGTTTAAATTCATGTATCATGGGTAAACTAAGATTCGTCGAAAGTACGATACAGATCACATTTTCAAACAAAGATGTTAATGCCGAATTATCCAATTTAAGATTTCCAAGTTACTGAAACAAATGAATATTAAAGAAAAAATAATGGTATGGTCAATGAAATGAATAAATAAAACAAATTAGCATGCATTATTGAGCAACTATATTATTATATTATAAAGGTAAATAATACATTCAGGTAAATAAGTAGTAATATTAGTAGAGAAAATAAATTTGCATATACATACATATATCTTATAAAATGTATTAAATGTCAATATACAGCTCCATTAAATAAACTAGAATTAAACACAAACAATCGAGTATTGACGCTGGTACATATGCTACTAAAGCAGGACTTACCGCAATTTGGTTTAAATAAAAATAAAGTTGTACTATTACACCAAAATGACTCTGGTATTTTTGTAGTATTTTCATTTTGCCATAGTTACAAGTTCTATTCATCTCTTCTATTTCTTTATAGTTTATAATAATTTAATGGACCGCAGTTCTCGTACCTACCAAACATTCTTTAGATATTATAAGTAAAAACTGAGTTAATGTAATTTAAAAAGATACTGCGCTATTGCAACATTGTTATACATATATTACATAAAACCGAATAGACTAGTTGTCATGTTTTTTCGCATTTTCTTTAATGCCTATGTCTATTTTAAAAATGCGGTGCATAATATTTGCTGGTTCTAATCTGTGATGTTTAGTCAGTTTCCACACAAATATGGGATTTATTACATAGATTTAGAAAGAACATACCAAATGTATTATGAAAATACATTAGCTCGTTCTTTCGGTTTAAGTCAGGTTCATTTCTATATAAAGTATATGTCACTATGAGAGATTTCACTCAGTACGAGATATAGGTTCGATTTTCAAAATTCTATTTCACAGCAATGAATTTTATTCTCATTTTTTTTACCACATTTAACAGTTATATAGTTTGATGTCTTCAATGTTCATTCTGCTAAATCATGTTTTCGGTACAAAAGTTACATAATATCCTCATACGATATCACAAAGTTAACTGTCTTATTTATTATATTATGTCAGGCCTACTACATATTTAAGTTTATGTCAGTACGTAACAACAAAGTAATACATGCATATTGTAGATAGGATGTTAAATATTAAAAACAGCTGTTCTTATATCTTATTTTAAAAAGTTTTAAAAATATACATTGTTAAACTATTACGTCAGAATAATTGGGATAAATGTAACCATGATTACAACGATAGCAGAACTTACACTCGACAACAGAGCGTTACCGTGAAGAACTATTCTTCCAGATACTTCTGGATAAACAGGAGTTCGCAGACTTAAATAATATGTTAGGCAAGTTAATATATCGTATTCTAGATTAACAGTTGGTTGTCCCTGGAATCTGTCAAATCCATAATGAGAATCCAATAAAGAGGTTGGAACAATAACTTTGTATGCTTTGCTATTGTCAATAACTTGGAATTGTGGCACGGAACAGGCCGCACATCGTACTACTGCACTTACAATTCTTGATCCAACTGATCTTTCTAAGTTATAAACTACTCGAACACCAGACGATTGAATAAAGCCGTTAGATGGGTTGTAGAAATTGTAATCAGTAACTGCATACTCTAATAATTCATTTAATATCTCTCCATTAATTGTCACGACAGCTAGATCACTTTCTACTGGCAAAGCCGCTAATATATCGCCTTTGGTAATTGAAGCTGGGCGGTTGGAAGGTGAAATTGAAGAGCTAATAGTAGCTCCATTAATAATAGCTATTGGTGCATCAGTCCATTGATTGCCTTCAAATTTTACCGCATAATAGTACATTATAGCGTCAGTTACTAAATTTCCGAAATTACATTCTTCCACTCTACATGAGTCTCCATCTAGTACAACGGATGTCTGCCCAACTATTTCTTCGGAAGTAGAAGTAATTTCTTCAGAGTATTTGTTAACAATACGAAGATATTCTGGATCTTGTGGAACAGTTTCATCTAATAAAATAGGTTTTGTGTTGTATTCAATAATATTACCATTTTCATCAAATTTAATATTCAAGTTTCCTAAATATCTATTATATGCTGAAGATTTAACTACTAAAACTTTTTTTCCAGAGTTTTGCGTTACAACCACAGGTTCTTCAATAGAAGTTTGAGCAGTGTTACCATTCCAATAAAAAATATTTTTGCGACCACCAATAACAATATCTATACCTTCGACTTCCTTTGCAATTTCAATATCTACCTCGGAATTGGAATGACCTAATGCAATTATTATATCAACATTTAAATCTTCTAATTTTGCAACTTCTTCTTTCAGTGCCAGAATTTCATTAACATACTCGATACTACCAGTACTGTCTAAATCTTTTGTATCTAATTTAAGATAACCTACTATGCCCACTTTTCTTGCATCAATGTCAAGTACTATTGATTTTTGTATCTTGTTATTATCTTCTAAGTCTTTCAACATAATATTGCTTGATATTATTTTGGTATTAATATTATTCAAAAAAGGTGATCCATTTTTAATTTCATCGTTGTTGAGCGACTGAAAAGAACAATATTTATCCAATTAGATTTATATTATGAAAGAAATCAAATATGACACATATATTCTTTAGCTTCAATCAATTGAATGATGTTAGTAAATATTTAATATGGTATATTATCTTTAGATAAAAGATTAGTATTTTAGGACTCTTCACAAATTACATACACGTACAATAATTACATATTATATATTTATCACATAACGACCCCAATGTGAGATAATATTCCGGAAAACCCTCTTTTATATTTCCAGGTAGAGTCACGCATGATATGTGTGCATAATTGAATCCACCGATATGTTTGTAAGGACCAGAAAGAAATATGAATTCTCAGCAGTCTTTCTCATTAGTATTTATAAATATTAGAACTCTCTTAATAATAATACAATAAGGTAATTTAATAAAGGAAATTCGTCACAAGATATACGTGAGATACAAAGGTGAGTTAAATGAGATGTGACAGACTCGCTGCTTCAATTGTAGCGGCGTGGTGTCCTATTTCTTTCTAGTCCAGTTACATTCATAATATATTATTAAAAACCTTAACCATGAATAGCCCATAAATAAAAAACCCAAACCAAAACTATATGCTATACAATAATGTGGTGGCATTAATTTATATTTTGTTATGTAATGAAAACAGAAGATGAGTTTTAAAATAAAGTAATATATATATATTTAAAGCCTACACAGCTCTTCAGGATCAATAGACTATAACCGCCAACGATCGATCCTAACAAAATAAATTCCTTGGTACGCCAAGTAATGTAGTCAGTAAGTAAGGGAAGTCACATTCAGCGTTACTTGTATGTTTTAGCTTTTAAGTTTTATAGTACCTAAGTACATAAGATAGATAGTATATAAGAATACTGTAATGACTAATGCTGAATAAATGTCTTTATTATTACTTTTATTATTAATTTTTAATACCATAGTTATCACCATATCACTGATCAATATCGTCACAAATATCATTTTCATGTTCTAAAAAATTTCAGATTTCGTCTTTCTTATGTGACTGGAATAATATACAAACTGCGACTAATATAATTTAGGATTAATATTCATGTGTTATATTGGGATCTTTATATTAATAATATAGGTACCTACAATTTTTAAAAGGTATATTTAGGTTTATTTTCAAATTGTCTTAGTCTCAAGAGATCTAATTCTCAATAGGTCTAAAATTAGATACAGTCAAAACTATACTAAAACTATTTGAAATGCATTTACCTCTAATATCGTTTTGGGTTTAAGGATAATGAGATAGGTCAGAGAAATTACAGGTATGGAAGCTTGACAACTTAGTCTTCAGAAATAGCAACGCATGATGTACCAATAATGTTATTTGTGACGCCTGTAATCATAGAACCGTGATAAGATTATAAAGGCTATTTATCAGGTGGGCTATTAAAAAAATGTAGTAAAGTGTAAAAATATAAAGTGACAATTCGTTTTTGCTTTCTGTATGTACTAAGAATAAGCAAATAAAAAATAATCTAATGTGTAAGTACGAATTTGTTATTGTATTATACACAATACAGTATATAATTAAGTATAGTACATCTGTAAATTTATTTTTGTTTACATTTTAAAGGAAATATATAAATATTAGGTATGTAGCAACATATAAAGGTAGGTGTTTGTATGTTAAAATTAAATAATATAGTACCTTCTATATTACTGTTATATAATAATGTTAATAATGTACATATTACATTTAATTGTCATTATATCAATGGATTAGTTAGATATTTGCATTGATACCTAGGTACATTGCCAACGATACATAGATATGACGTTCTAATTTTGTTATTACAATGGTCTTAGTTATTACGATTGTGATTGTATATATTAGTAATATAAACATTTTTTGTACATAGTTACTTACATTTTTTTGTTCTTTTCAAGGATCCATTCCATTTACTGCAAACATGTAATCTTTTTCTATTAAGTAATATATAAAAAATGTTGTGATAATTATGGGAAAACACTTAAAGACAACATATATCTTACAGTTATTTTACAAAGTATTATGATGTGGGCTACATTGAACTCAGTACCATAATACTTCCATCCTGGGTTGACAACCACTAGGCTACGACGATTAATTTGTTAGTAAGTAATTATAGCAGTATATACTGCGAACGAATATTCGTTACTACTTATATAAAAAATATACTTGTGGGAATAGTGGGCGCAGTTAGCAATAGGACTTGTTAAAGGTTCGACGCTATGACGTCATTTAATATTTGTTAGTAATTGTAGCGAGGAATACATTGATTAGTGATATAAAAAATTTTGAATAGTACTTACAATTTTTATAAATTTGAACTAAGAATCCATTTTGATTTCTGGGGACACGTTATCGTCATCTGTCATGTTTAGCTACTGATCTTGGAAAACAACGCTAAGCAAATATGTGTTACAGTTTAATATGTTTGGCTGTAATATTCTGTTTTTTATGTGTGTAGTATTAAAACGAGCGTAATAAGACGATCACATATTTATATGCTTGCATTCCATAATATGAATGGACGTAACACACTAACGCAGAGTAAATATACACATATAGTAACGATACATCACGTTTTGACGGACATCATGAGGCAAAGGATGCCAAAAATATGATACGGGATAAAAAAAATCACGTACCAGAATCATGTAGACAGATTGCAATCGCCATACGAACAGGACGTTCATAATCATAAACACAAGCATAAGGACAGAACGACGAATAAATTATATATATAGATATCAATGAATAACATGACCATGAACTGTGCAGCAACAATTTTGTGTGGAGATACCTGTTGACCAACACCTAATAAATTTAGATAGATCTATAGAGAGTGATAGAGATCAGTCAGTTCGAAATCTTTATGTCGGAAATAAATTGTTAGATGGTCAACTTACAAATCTATTTTATAGTCTATAGAGCATAATCTTGAAAATGAGCATAAACGTGAATTTTGCTCTCTAAGGTCAAATCCTTATAGATATTGTGATTCCACAGATCTAAGAACCATCATCATCGGCATATAAAATTTTATGAAAATCGGTCCAGTTGTTTAGCCAACAAGGAGATAGACATTTTTAATTATTATTTATTATAAAGCACATCCTAAGAATATCATCACGGGCACTTATGCGCCACATTTTTACTGATAATGGCAATAGGAAGATAAATGTTTAAACCCTTTTTCAAGAGAAGGTAGGAATGCGTTGGTTTTTGTAATATTATTGAAAACATATATTCAAAGAAACAAAACGTATTAATAATTGTATTTCCAATAACTTACAACTGCATCTGGCTGTAATGCGTTGATAAACTCTGCGGCAATCTTCCACTTGTAAATAGTGAACCACGCCGACCCAGTGTATGTATCACCAGCATTCAAGTATAGAACTGGTGGACCTTCGCCAGTCAATGCTTTTTTTCTAGCCTCTTTCACACTGAAATGTAGAAATTGAAATTATATTTAAACTTCATATTAGAACTTTTATTTCAGTATTTCATTTTTATTTAACTAAATCTAGTCAAAAAGAGTGACCAAGGTACTTGTTGGTTGCTCTTTTATAAAGTTGTACAATTTTTCAGATACAGTGTGAATACAATCTACCAAATCGCATAAATTCTATAGTTATATGGTTACAAGAGTAATAAAATAAATCAGTCACAGTGATCAGAACAGACCAGTCCCCAGTATTCTATCATGAGTTTAAATTTAAATTATGAGCAGTAAGTATTGTGCTAGTTAACATTAATAAGCCACTTATCAAGTTACCATTGCTTTTGCACAGAGCGTAGGTAGAAGGTATTTGCTTTGTATGCTTCGATGGTATGGTTTGTTATCTTCCATTTTTACTGGAGAGTCAGTCAATTAATATTTTTATTGTTGAACGTAAATTAGTAGTACGTACAAAAGATATTTTTACTATTTACAATATCTCTTTGTATTCGAATTATTCTGCTGCAGTAAATTTTTACAATTATTCTAGACAAGTAGGTTTAGATTGTATCATTATTATTATATTAAGAAAAGTAAACGAAGTCAAGAAGCGGGTAACAGCTAGTATAACATATACCTTTCTATATCTTTCCTCTAGTTGCAGGTGCTCATTACGACGGTGGTAATCACCTATCATCCATGCCATCAGGTGAGCTGCATACTAGTTTACCGTACATTCGTATATATATATAACTATTTACATAGAGCAGTTGTTAACGTTATAAAATACACTTACACGGTAGCTACTCTGGGGAATCCGCCGTAGCATTTGCCAGCATCTCTGTCAGCAGTGGTGCATGTGCCACTGAGTTGCGATGTCTGCTCGAATCTCGCATGCATATCATTATTGTGGAGTATTAACAGCTCAAAATTATCCGTCTTCGTGGCCGTGGGCGGCGACTTGACAATGCTGCTTGAAGATAACGTTGCTACGACCAAAAAGGCCGTTAATTGGATTAGGGGATTCTGGAATCATACAAATTAGCTTCCATAAATTCCACTAAACTTACAGAAAATTTGCAGAATATTTTATTAAAAGGAAAACCCATGTTTAATAATAAACCTATATTCAAATGGCTTCAGATTATAATCTCATATACATATATTAAATATATGTAAAACGAAATATTAAGTTTAAATAAAAATGAAAACCGTAAACAATTGCTTTTTTATGCACTATATTTTAAGACGAATGAGTTAGTAGTGCAAGGTAAATATATTTATGTATGTAATAAAAATGTACTGTAAAGATAACTTAATTAAAACCATATGTTTTTTAAGTGTTTACATTATTTGTACTTGAAAGATAAATATAAATAAAAATAATATCAGAAAAACTATTACTTTAGAGGGATTTTTATCAACATAATAAAACACAAAACAACACTGGTTAGAATTTTTGACTGTGCCACAGATATCATAATATTACATAACTGTACGTTTGTACGCGTACATATAACTTACAACTGTAATGACCGATTTTGGTGCGGTCGTCACTATATTACGGTATGCTTAATTTTTATTTAGTGTTAATTATGTTTAAATTGATTGACAAATAAAAAAGTAATAACTTAGTATCGTTTACATTTATACAGAATTCAGGCAGCTTTACGTGACTTTGTGTCTTTTTTCTTAAATTACTTCGGTCGTCGTTCAATCGTGAAAAGGCAACAAACAGACACAATATGTACCTAAATATTAAGTATAGATTCATGGATAAATTTATATTTAATGTGCTCCATAACAGATACTTATTTGTAGTTTAAACATATATTTTTAAATTCACATTAATACAAATGCACAATAATTAAATGTATGGAGTTACTTACTCCAAATAAACCAAAAGGGTCTGTTACAATAAGGTCATCAATTATTAACACAGTTGGAATCTAAATTACTTCCATGTAGATACGTTACACTTGTTGATACATTATACTTTCATTTTATTGTTTCTACTATCTACCTATCTGTACTATTCAATCGGATGTCCCAAAATTTCTTGCTTTGCTAAAAATGCTTAAAATCAAACTATACAATCAGGTTTTAATTGACAAGAATTCTATTATTGCACTTGGACTGGAGAGCATAATGTGAAAATATTTATGCATATATACATACGGCCACCGTATATGATAAACAGACTTACTCTGTTTTGCAATTACAAAGAATTTAACAAGTTGATACCAGAGTATGATAACAGGAATAGATAACAGGAGTAAACGCTTCCGTTTGAAGTATTTTTATGGTCTGGTACTCTATGTTAGACGTAATGACGTCTTTTCCTTTTAATATTTATCATTATCTCTTTCAGTGAGGGGTGTCATAAATGTTATGCAATGTTATGTTGTGCAGGTGTGTGGTTCCCTTGTTCATACAACGGGTAATACTTTCCATCAGGTGGGATTTCAACTTGTTCGGTATTATAGTCGCATGAAAAAATCAACCAATGAGCATTTTATTATACGGTTCTTCCGGAGCAAAGGTTGAAGTGGATAGGATGCACATGTAGTAAGGTTAGTAAGCTCTTCATGGTAAATTCAAGAGGAATTAACCACGATGGTTTCCAGGGTGGACCGTATGGAGGTCGATCTGATACGATAAATTACTGGCAATGGGTTACCAGTTTCACTTAATAATAAGGGTATACTATATTCATCGAACATTTGTCTTGGTATTATAATGAACAACTGTAAAAACTGTAGCCAATTCGTATTATAGATATTTACGTACGAGTATGTAATTATATATGTATGTGTATACAATCGGTGTAGTCGGTTTGAAGGTGAATTTCATTGTTGTCTTGCTATTTAAATTGTTTCATACTTGTGTCATTATAATAAAAATACCATGTTATTGATTAATAGAGACCGGATTATATGCACCATAAAACTCTTGTTATATGCATGCAAAATTAAATGATAAAGTTTAGGAATCCCAAAAAAAATAGAAAGTATCCTTTTTTTATTTCAAAATCAGCATAAAATTAGTAAATTATTTTTTGATAGGCGAAAATAGGTAGGTACAGTAACATTATATGACGTAATTTTTTTTTGTGAACATGCAAGTATGAACATGGAAAAATTTATATGCGTTATAGGTGGAACGACTTTGTAGTAAGCGATTGCGACGTTCTTCTGTCTCTTTCATTTTATTATCATAACTGTCAAAAAAAAAAACACGCGCGCGGCTATTGACTGCGTTCCGAAATGCAGTACAAAGTCACAATTATTACTCAATAGCCCTTATATTTTGGGACTATTATTATATTTAATTTGGTCGCATTTCGGAACGCATGGTGAGTGAAAAATATTGTAAATGTACCGATAATATGCATCATAACTAGATCTTAGATAAAATATGCTATTACCTCTGAGAATGACTAAAATATGCAAATGCATATGCGAATATGCAAATCCATATAATCAGGTCTCTATTGATTAATATCAAATAAGACCAGATAATGTTCTGAATAACATATTCAGATTTCTGTAATATGATGTGTTCTTGTAGGTAGATAAATTTTATTGACGATGACGAAATTCTAATAAAACTAGTCGGTCGCCATTCACGAAAAATCTCAAATTAATTTGTGTTAACGATAGTGCAGGCGTATTTGACGTATTATTAAATGAAATGAGAATGCATTTAATTATCTTAGCCTATCATGGCAATTTTACTAGGAATTAATAATGACATAGTAATTTCCTGGTGAGAGGGTTGATAATTGTGCCCGATATGCTAGAGATATAATATTAGATTGATTTCCTCGAAGAATCTTCTGAATTCTTGGTGAATTTGTCCTGAAATGGTTATTCTGACTCTATTCTAAACGTATACCATAAGCCGTGTCTGAGCACAATACGATCATTTCGTTAAAAAAATGCAAGCAGAATTATATATCTAATAACTGTCATTACGAAATGATTGGTGGTAGTGGATGTAACGCTAAAATAATTGATGATAATGACGACGTTTGTCATGCTTTTATTGTGATTGTGAATAAATGATGGTATTGAATAGTAAATTCGTAAATGTATATGTAATAATTTTATGTCCTTAGAATATACATTCTAAGGACATAAAATCATCTGGGGCTTAATAATAAAACGCTGTTACTAGCAATTCTCAATTGTAATAGATTATAATTAGACAGGACACAAAAAAAATCGGTTTCAATTGCATTAACAAAGGTAATTCAAAACAACCTACTGGTCAGATTTTGATGAAATTTATATGAGAACCAATGAATAGCATGGAAAGGTTGCAAATTAAAAAACAAATCAAAATTGGTTCACGTTGAGAAACACGAACTTCTAAACATTCCACGGATTCACGCGTGGGTACTGGGTCCATTGTTTGGCAGAGAGTGAAACTCTGAGTGATTCTCGGGACTTGTGACTCAGGTTTGAGGGCCACTTTGCCGACGTAAATCAATACCTTTAGCGGTCGTGTTACTATCCCTGCCCAGGAGCCTGGTAATGCAGTTTTGATATAATCTAGTATATAACATACTGCAGCTCTATACGGGGTAAGATCTTTTAGAAGATTACAGAGAGATTTCTTTGGTAGAACTCTTGCTCCTACTTTGACCGGATATAAATTAACAATATAATATTTTTCGTTAAATAGTTTGTTATATACTTCGTAATATTTCTTTGTTTTAATTGCATGATCTTTATGTATATTTGTTTCCCATGGTACAGCGAGCTCTACCAATAAGTAATATTTCTGAGCTTACACATGTAAAAATATAGTCGAATTGAAAACCTCATGCTTTTTTTAAGTCGATTGATTATCAAGATTTTCTAGTTCTAGTACTTGAGAGTTGCATATTTTTAGCTGTTTATCTGTTTAACTAGGAAATTGTAAAAACAGCGTGATGCGCTATCAAATTATCTACATTTCTTCTGCTGTGTACAATATTAATTGTATGCATTATATACATGCTGAACTATCGTGTTAGTAAGGTTCTTTATACCATCAATAACATTGAATAAATAAGTAAGTATTCTATTTATCATAAATACTCGTATACCTTTAAAACATTGATTTTGACATGAGTTGTCTTGGACAGAATATCACAGAGTAAAAGATTTATTTTAGGTAGAGACTGATGTATTTTTTCTATGACATATTTTTTACAAGTGTAGTACTATGAAGACATAATAATTTCTCTAGACAATTTACACAGTGTTACTATCTAGTACCAAATTAAGCAGAGCTTGTATAGTGGGTATTATATAACTGATCGACATAATTACGTATTTTTCTATGTCATTACATACATAATATACAAAGAACACACCCTTACCGATACAAATCTTACTTAAGAATACAAATGTTTGTACCGTGCAAGAAATTGAAACTGTGACCATTGAAAGTAAACCGGTATGCTAAATCACTAGACCGCCGTGGCCACCTAAATTCCACGAAATTTCATTATCATAGTAATATAAATATAATGAACGCCATCCACTGTAGCAAGGAATGCAGATAATTTGGTGCACGTTTTATAATTATGCTCCTCAATGCAAGTATGAAATACAGATAAAAAAGTGCTTTCAGTATTTGAACACAGCCATTACAACTGGCAGTATGGTCGCTTTGATAAAATGGAATCGGGATCAAAGCGAAATTGCATCGGACATAATTAAATTCGCTGCTATTTACCCTTTTACGGCATTGTCAAAGGTTCAATACAGACATGTATAGTTTATTTACATTTCCGTATTTTTGTTTACATTTGAGAACATTTCTGCAAGGTAATAAACCGTGCAGAAATACTCTCAAATATCTTATTATATTCAAATATATAAAATTCTCGTGTCATGGTGCTTGTTACCAAACTCCTTCCTCCTTTACCGATTTTTATGAAATTTTCTGTGCACGTGGAATCTGTCTGAGAAATCAGCCAACATCTATTTTTTAAACCCCTCAAAAACTTTTGCACTTTTTATTTTGAGTAC